CTGAAATAAACTTTTATATTATTAGTACATTGGGTACTTAAAAAAAAAGTCAGTTACCTAGTGACGAGTATTAATATATCATATATGTATTATAAATACTACTGATGGCAGATACCTAGTACATAATAATAATTTTGGGACGATATTTCGATACGACCAGTGAGAGTTAAGGCGCAGGACCGATAGCTTTACGCGCTCTCCGAGGCTCGGGGGTGAAACACCGCCAGCTTTAAAACTTCGGGCTACTACTGAGAATATCTTAACAGAAAAACTCAATAATTAATACCCGATAAGCAGTTTGGTATGGGCGAGCTCAGTTCAAAAATTAGACTAAGTACTAAAGAATTATCCCGTAGGTTATATTTACATGCAAAATATTTATAAAAAAATCTCTCGCTGAAATAGATCTTTCACGTCCAAACCAACGGCAGTGTGCAGACACAGAGAGACAAGCACGCTCAAACAAACGAACACTTCAGCTTTATGTATTAACTAACATTACCCGCGGCTTCGCCCGTGTTTAAACTTCCGATGTAAACATCAGTTTTACAATAATGTATGGTAGTCTGTCCGATTTACTGACATTTACGATTACTGCTCCGGTCCCTTGGGTAGTAAGTAGCATGATGATATATAGCCTATAGCCTTCCTCAATAAACAGACTATCTATTACAAAAAGATTTTTTCAAATCGGATTAGTAGTTCCTGAGATTAACGCGTTCAAACAAACAAACTGTGTCTCTTTATAATATTAATAACATAGTTATAGATTATAATAAAATTTCGTATGGATGTAGGTGTATGACCGTATATCTATATATAATGACAAAAATTCGAAGTGCATCCGTGCAGACTGCGTGTAAGTCTGTTCACGTAGCGTCTAGACGGTTGGTTGTATGCAAATGTAAACAATTGTCTGATTTTCGGCTGTCTATTTCGTATTCGGCAGTGGTGCGGATTAAGGTTAAATAATATTTTGGTTAAATTATATTATAATATAAAGATAATTTACTTAACTCTCGCTTCACTTAGGGTTCGTCCCTAGATAAACAAATCTATCCCACGGGAGCCGTACATTTTTCCGGGATAAAAAATAACATATGTGCTATTCCAGATTATAATCTATATCTGAGCCAAATTTCATCCAAATACGTTCCGCCGTTCTGACGTGAAAGAGTAACAAAAATCCATTCGTCCATTCTCACGAACTTTCGCATTTATAATGAATATTAGTGTCTCCATATAAAAGTAAGTAAAAAGTAGGTACTCCTGATACCAGTAGTAAATAATAATAAGGCAAGTATAACATAGAAAGAGACAGGTACTTTAGTAGTTAGTACTAAAGTATATATACGTAAATACTAAAAAAAGTAAAAAACTAAGTCACTTCTGTTTAATGTAATTTAAAAAAAAAGAAAAAAGGTAAAATTAAAAAAACAAATATTGAACTTCTCCTTAACCCATCTAAAATCAAAGTCTAGACTTCAAATAATAATGTATTCAATCGCATGCCTAATTTTAGTGCTCCATAGCATCTTCGAGTCTATGATAATGTGAATAGTTCTTACATGTAATTTATAGGTATGTTGCCTACATACATACTACTCGTTCTGTTTATACAAACATTACGTGAATAAAAGGACTTTGGTCATGTTCTAGCATTCTAAGAAATTTTGGTGTTATGATTTTGATTTTAAAAGTTAAAATAACATTTTGTTTACCATAAAAGTATTGGATATTTTGATTCTAAATATTCAGTAACGAATGTTAAAAGATTCTAACATTCGTTCGAAAAAGGCCTCAATGCAGTCCTGACAAGAACTAGCGAAATCCTGTGCGATATTAGTAAATCTCTGTAAATGTTGCGAATTCGATTCCCACACCAAACAGAAAGTTGTAAGGTCAATCACAGGTAGCTTTTACAACGTTTTACTTAATTCTATATCCCAAATACGAAAAATTAATTTTTAATCTACAGTTTCGATGTTTCATCGCAAATCTTAGGCATGCATAGACTTTTGTATTTTACATTATTTTTCGATTTTATATTGAACTAGCGACTCACCCTCGCTCCGCTCGGGTCCGTCCCTAGGTACTTACTTTGTAACGTTTAGTATAGATTTCTCAGAGATGAGATATTTTCCCGCAGTAAAAAGTATCCTATATGTTGACCCGGATAAGCTGTCATCATACCAAATTCTGTCAAAATCCCTCCAGTGGTTTTTCTGTGATGCGGTAACAGACAGACAGACAAACATTCTTAAAGCTATAGATTCGGCCTCTGTATCGAGAATAATGTCTATTTCAATAAGATTTTCCAAAAAATATTTTATGTTTAGATTCGGCTTGGTTACAATTTTATTATATGTATAGATATTATATTTATAGATTAACTAACAGCCTAAATTATTGTCGTAAGAGACTAGATATCTTCCGTTTAATTATTTTACCTGATAAATATAGATTTTTGAGTTAATGACTGTAATGAGATTGTCAAATATCTTGTTCGGTCAAACCTTTATTAATAAACACGCTTTTAATTTTGAGTAACTCTTCGGTCTATTGATTTTTTAGTAAATGACAAGAGTTAAGAAGATGGAGAAGTCGGTGTTACTGTGCCTTATTTCGGCGAAATAGAAAAGCCAGTCATGCATTTGATCTATCATCCTGTTAATTGTCGGAAGTCGGCCAACAAAAGAACAAGTAAATTAAAACACGCTGTTTGAAATTTAATTTAATATAATATATTCTAATTGTCGATATAAATTATATAATAAATGGACAACCAAATATTTATTTTATTCATAACTTACAATACGTGAATAACTTTAAGTTAACAGAACAAATATGAATTGGCTGGATAATAATTACGGTAAAATTCTCTAAGACGGGTTACAAAATATTGTAATGAAAGAACAATAATGGAGTGTGGATTTTTTATATTATGTTTTCAAAATATTTACATATATACGTAATTTTATTTTTGAGTATACAATTTATTTCATACCTTTCAGATTCAAAGATATCAAAAGTTATCTTGTCATCGTTTGGATGCAACATTATTTACGTTTCTAAGTATAACGTGAAAGAAAAAAATTAAAAATGTGTAAAGTGTATGTTTGTATGATTTCTTCAAAATAATAAAAATATAATTAATATACCTAAGACAAATTATATAATTATAAACTTTTGGTACTTATATGTATGTATGAATTTCGAGCAATGTGCGGAATCCTTAACAGTAATTCACCTAATGTGGACACTACTACACAACACTAAAAAAATTGTATATACATACATAACTTGCAAAGTAGGTATATAGGTAAAAAAAACAAAATGAAACTTTATACATCTCTGAATTTTTACTACTTCTTATCTATCTTCTTCTATATATATAAAAGGCAATAGTGATTGACTGATGTATCAACGCACAGACCAAACCCTTAAGGCTAGAAAATTGAAATTTCGCACACGTATTCCTCATATGATGAGGACATCCACTATGGAATGATTTTCCAAAATTCAACCCCTAGGGGGGTGAAACAGGGGATAAAAGTTTGTATAAAACTTTTTATTCCTTGGACATATTTGCATGAAATTTCGTATGAATTGAGTACGGCAAAAATAATGAGTTACATACGAGTATTTCAACGTTTTCTAAAATTCAACCCAGAAGAGGGTAAAATAGGTGATGAAAGTTTTTATAAAATCCACTTTTTAGAGTTTTTTTTTGTAGTTTTAGAGCGAGCGAAGCCGCAAATTCTGCTAGTTAGTAATAATTGCACAGAATAATGTATCTTTTGACACTTAAGTATGCTTTTCTATTTGATAAAACAAAATGCGTCGAGAAAATATAGAACACTTTTAACCTACTTAAATGTGGCAATCGTCAAACAAATCACATGAGCCCAAAGTTGAATGTTTTATTAGAGCCATGTTTTATTAGCCAGTAAAGAGTTACATACACTATCCATCTCGAATCTTTAATTGATCCATCATCTGATGTCATATCATTTTATTGTCATCAGGATTTTACCATAAACATAGAGAATGGACTGAGTATGCCAGCCGGCAGCTTAAAATGGCGGAAAAGCGACAGAGACAAAATGAATTCGCGGCCAGAAATCTTCCGTATTAATTGAAATACGATTAATGAAGATAATTATTTATAACCATTTTACATTTCATTATAATATTATCATTTTTAATAATACTATTTTTTTTACATTACACTAATAAATTCAAATTGGAATAAAAGACAGGTCGCGCGTTCGCTACCTCTCTTTCTAAATATTGGTCAATTTCATGACAGTATTGTTCAGTCCATACTCTATGTCTATGGCTTTTACACACATACATAGTTTCAAATCGATACAGTTGTATCGATTATGATTATGTAATAGGTAAGAATGGATTATTAACATTTGATTACATATTCGTAATTATAAATTATTCTAATAAAAGCGCATTAAAATAGTCTGTAATCAGAAGTTAGCTTTCTGTTTGCGAGGAAATTTTGACGTCAGTCCACTATTGTAGTATAAATAATTTATAATAATGCCACTAAACTAAAGTATGAACAAAAATATTTGTCTGTTTTTCAAGAAAAATATGATGAAACAACAAAATGTTTAACCAAACTTATTTTTAAACTTGTTTGTCTTGTACTTGCATTTTTTAGCAAAAGGACGCATTAATGAATCATACTTCTCACGATATTTTTCTTGGACTTGATATGAATCACATCAAAACGCATTAACCAATAAAAGGATGATTACAAGAACGATAATATTAAACGAAGATGTTATTAAGACAACGTTTGAAATGCTTTGTATTTCTTTTCATATTGAGAAAACGATCTCTATAAAGATTGAATCAATAATATTTAAAGTCAGGTGCTATCTGTACTTACAATGTTGTTAATAAAGTCTGTTGTAAGCAACTTTTGTTTTCCGCTACTATTACATTTTTAGTAATTAGATATCTAACAAATTGGTTCACAAAAACGTAGACCAATATACAACGTTTAGTATGAAGAATGAGAACGGGAAGAAGAAACGGGAGAAGCGGTCGATGTACACAGCAGTCTCTCTGCCATTACAGAAGGTGTCGTACTGCGGGAGTGACGCGGACGTGCTGGCGCGAGGGTCCACAGAGTTCGGGAATATATGCTGGAAGTTAAGTAATAATTAATGGAATTAATATTTTATTTCATTTACGCGAATATTTGACATTTTAATTAAATAAATAAATAAATAATAAATATTTTGGGACATTGACACACAGCATCCAACTACAGCTACTAGTCCATGGTAAGCTACGAGGCATATGTTATGGATACCAGATAGTTGATACACTGCACATATATAACTTTAAATACATACATGTTATAAATATTATAATAAACTATCTTTTCGCATTTTTGCGTGGATTTAACTAGATTTTTGGTTCCCGACGTTTCGAATGCTTTACAGAAATCTTGGTCAATCAGACTTCACACATGACTATGGCCTGATCCCCCTCGTATTGAAAGGAGGTCCGTACCCAGCAGTGGAACGTTAAAAAGGGCTGAATACAGACTTCACATCAGGAATCAAAAATTTAAATAAATCCACTAAAAAGTCCGAAAACATAGTTTTATTTATAATCAAATTAATTTTATAATTATTCATTTATATTATTTTGATTTTTTTTTCTGAGCTTATTCTTGAAGTTATTAAAAACTTCACACATTATAACATTACATATATTACCAGTAATATTCATCAAAATATGTTTTATACATTTGTTATATATAAACCCACCTTATAAGCATCTAACTCTCTACTCAAATCTTCATCAGAATATCCTTTCATGGCTTTTGTAGCGACAGGTCCCATGTAGTTGTTGACCACAGCAAACTCAAATAAAGAGAGGAAAACGAAAACAGAACAAGATGACATCCACACATCTATCGCTTTGACGTACGACACAGGCGGTAAGCTTTGTTGGGACTGCGTGTTTTGTGTTGCTGAAAAAAAATAATATTACATTCTATATATTCTTTTATGCCTTTACTGGGTGATATGGAAGAAAAGATACTTAAAATTATACATGCAAATGCAAATTCTTGCTAACACAGTTTAATTTTTTCGCATAGTATTAGTTTTTTACAACATAGGAAGGTTATCGATAAGGTCTTATTTTGGCCCTAGAATAAGGAAAAAATCATGCCATACGATTTATTGATCTTTTCTATACATATTCTGAAAGTAAATTGTATGCACGATAAAAAATAAAAAAATATTTTTTTATGAGAAAAAAACTACAATCAATACTACTTGTGAGACGCCAAATTTTGGTTTAACTGGGATTTTCGTTCAAAATGAGACATTTTCAGAGACATTTCAACTTTTTTTACATAGGGCCTATATAAGAAGCACTGTCTTTTTAATTTTATTTTAATGTTCTTATGTTACTACAAAATATATTTAAAAATTACAGTGCTTCCCTCCTGCGCTATATATAAAAAAGTAGAAATGTTATTTTATGTTGTTTTTTTTTTTAATAAATGCACAGAGCTTAGCATCTTTTTTAATACATATAATAAAATTGTAACTAAGCCGAATCTGTACATTAAATATTTTTTGGAAACTCTTATTGAAATAGGCATTATTATCGATCCAGAGGCCGAATCTATAGTTTTTAGAATTTTTGTCTGTCTGTCTGTCTGTTACCGGATCACGGAAAACCACTCGAGGGATTTTGATGAAATTTTGTATGATGATAGCTGGTTATCCAGGTCAACTTATAGGATACTTTTAACTACGGGTAAATATTTCATTTCTGAGAAATCTATACTAAACCTCAAAACGTAAGTAGGGACGAACCCGAGTGAGCGAGGGTGAGTCGCTAGTTTTTAAATAAAAGTCGTTTAAAGTGAATTTTTGCCGGGTTTATAACTTATATTAAGTAATTTTGCACGTTGTTGTCTACTTAAATAAATATTAAGGGGATAAAAACTATAAAAGTTATGTTAATTAAATATTTAGGGAAATGCCGATTTCGATAACTTATTGGTAAGTTAAAAAGTAAAAGGTTATGTTAAAGTTTAAACCAAATAATCGTCTATATACCTATCACTAATTATTTGCTTTACACAAGAACTGAACCCCAACCTTCAGTGCAAGGTCAAGTACTTACAAGTAGTTTATATAATTATAATGATAAAATTGTAAAAGTTTGAAGAACTAAGGTCAAACAAAAACGTCATCACTGGGACTATCATAAAAACACTCTAATTAACCCAAATTAAAGTATAGTCCGATTTCATATGACGTATATATAATATGCATACATATATCTTACTGCCTCGGTGGTGTAGCGGCTAGCATGTACGGCTGCACACCTGGAGGTCCTGGGTTCGAGTCCCGGGTCGGGCCAAGTTTAGTTATTGAGTCTTTCTGTATAGAAAGACTCAGTAATAGCCCGGAGTTGGGAAGTTGGCGGTGTTTCACCCCCGTGCCTCGGAGAGCACGTAAAGCTGTCGGTCCTGCGCCTTATCTCTCACCGGTCGTGTCGAGTAGTCGTCCCATCGGAGTACGAGAGTGACAGGAATAGAGAGTGCACTTGTGTCTGCGCGTACACTTGAGCACTATAATATCTCCTGCGCAGTTGGCTAGTCTCAATGAGATTGGCCGCCGTGGCCGGAATCGGTCAGGAGAACATCATCATCATCATCACATATATCTACATAAAACTTATAGCATACATCTTCTATACAGACAATATATAAAATTGACGTGTCTGTTTGTAAGTCAAAACAACAGTTTTTTACTAAATGCATACGAAAAGTATATACGGTACTTATAAAGATGTTTCAATTTTTTTTATTTAAATTAAATTTCAAATTAAATTTTATTAGTAGAAGAAGCCAATTTGTTAAAATAGGCTATCCTCTCCTTATCAATAATCATTGCCTAAGTATTAAGTTTCATTCAAATACGTGCAGCCGTTTTAGCGTACAAGAGTATATAAGAAAGTTGTATGTACCTAAAGTCAAAAGCGAGGTTACACCCAATGTAACTCGCGCAGGTATGGCCTCCGGTTTTATCCAAAAAGAGATCCAAGACATAACTACGATTAATGCTGATGGAATGTAAGTGTGGAAGAGATGGTAGCCCAAACGCCGACGAAGATTGAAGACCACAGCTAAACAAGTGAAGTTACCTGGAAAGTTAGACATACATATTTGTAAATACTTTACTCTAGCTTAGGTTAAAAGTAAGAATTAGTGTCAAATAAATATTTCTTATAACCCTATATAACCTTAATATTTTATTTTGTTTGGAAAAATATATAACTAATTATATAAAAATAAAAAATAAATAAATAAAAAAATATCTGTAAAACTTTCTGGTTTGTATCCCCAATAGCGCTTCTCAAAATCCTGATGAATGCATGCATTAAATTATTGCACAAACACAAAGTACGTATAGTAAGAAATAATAAATTTTATTTTTACGTTTTAAAGTTTAGTATAGATTTCTCAGAGATGAGATATTTTCCCGCAGTCAAAAGTATCCTAAGTATATGTTATATCCCAAATTTCATCAAAATCTGTCCAGTGGTTTTCTCGTGATGCGTTCTCAGACAGACAGACAAAAATTCTAAAAACAATAGATTCGGCCTCTGTATCGATAATAATGACTATTTCAATAAGATATTACAAAAAATATTTAATGTACAAATTCGACTCAGTAGAATTTTATTATATGCATAGATTTCCTACTTTGTGCAATAAGTTATGCTCATAATTACTTTTCTAAGGTTGAGTTATCCACACATTTTACTCAATTTGAACATTATATTAGATTTTTCGACCATAAAACTTAAACAGAGGGGTGACAGATAAAGAAATACACGCAATAATTTTGTTTTAAGTTTTTAAAAACCTAAATAGTATGATTTTTTTATTAGTATAACTATTTCCGTTTGCTTGGAAAACCAAATGAAGCAGATTCTATTTTGTATCTAGGAATCTCTGAGATTTGTGTGTATTATTTTTTAATCAGTGAGTATTATGAGGGTATTACGCTTTTATAATAGATGGTTTTGAAAAAAATCTTTAAATTATAAATATGTTAGTAGTATTTGACACTTTAAATTAAACTATCTTTTTCGTGTTTTGTTTTTATTTTGGCTGCCTCTCTACATGATTGCAGTAAAGCATTCGAATTGTCGCATCGGGAACCAAAAATCTATATAAAACCGTTTAAAAAATCCGAAAAGCTTGTTAAATTTAAAATGGTTAAAAATATATTATTTACCTGTAGAATATTCAATAGTACAATCAGACGTGTAATTATTGGATATATCGAGCTGCGGCAGTTCTATGTCGGGGTTTACCACTAATGGGTCTGTCAAGTTCCAAATGAAAACTAAGTCGTGGACTGTATGTGATACTGAAAGTGAAAGATCAATTATAATATTTTGTCATTATAAGTAATTTACGGTTACAAATAAGGCCTATGCACTGAATTAGAGTCGTTTATTCTGTTTTTAACACCTTTTTTGGAATGAAAACATACTTTTAAAGTTTTTAAACATAATTTTAACATAACATTTCAGGGAAACCGCGTCTAAAGTGGGAGCTGCGGCGGAGAAGGCTGAACTACTTAAGTTGCGTAAATACTGCTCAGTCTCAGTCAAAATTATATTTTTATTCCATTTGCTGTAGAAACCCTTGGCCCATGGAGTCAAAGTGCTAAGCTCTTCTTAAAAGACATAACACCCCTTCTTATCACCTCTACTGGGCTGGCGCATTTTTGGCCCAAAGAATCGGCATTGCCATTCAACGGGGGAATGCGGCTAGCATTCTTGCCACTATTCCACGCGGACATGACTTGTACAGTAATAACTAAGTGTAAATTTGTTTTGTATATATAATTACGTATATTTGTAATTTTCTTTTTTGTAAATAAAGTTTATTAGTTACATGTTAAACTGTTAAATTATTATTCTTGAAACATTACTATGGAAAAAAATCCTTTTCAGTCATCTCATAAACGTGATTCAAACAAAAACAATTTTTTACGCAAAATTGAATACAAATAGTATTTTTTAACGTAAAAGTTATAATTCATAAGTCATACTTACAACTTTCTATCATAATAGAGCAGCTCTGTGTGTCGTGGGGATACGACTCGAACTTCATTGCACAAGACAATACCAACGTCAATCTGAAATGTAGGAAACATCTTTCATTACAATTATACCTTACTAGCTCGCTTCACTCGCTCCTCGCTTCACTCGGGTTTGTCCCTAGGTTGATTCCTCATACAAACTTTCATCCCCATTATCACCCCCTTAAAGGATGATTTCCGGGATAAAAATCCTGTCCTTTCCAGAATCTCAAACTATCTTCTTACCAAATTTCATCTATATCGGTTCAGTAGATCCAGAGATTACCCTATACAACCTCACAAACTCACTAACTTTACCTCTTTATAATATTAGCACAGATTAGTAAAACTTTTTCATTTTTCATTTCATTACACTGTATACAATGGAAACGTGCTGGCCTATTAAAATAACGTATGTAGCAAGTACCCTATAATATTTAAGTTTTATATGTACGACTATTTATAAAATGTGGTGCATGCCCTTAATTTCGAGTAATATACAAAAAAGATATTATTTTATGTTATTTTAGTAATTAACTTTGTGTATGTGCTCTAAAGCCTTATTTGATAAATAAAAAAAACTAAAAAAAAATTAATTACCTAGCTGGTATAGTGACTAGTATGTTAGTGACTAGTATGTATGTATGTATGTATGTCTGCAGCAAATAAAATTATTGATTTTTTTGGCCAAGAATTTCTTACTCACAACCTAGAGTTGGAAATTTGGCGATATTACACTTTCGTGCCACGGAGGATACGTAAAGTTTGCTTTTCATCTCTCTCCTTTCGAGTCAAAATTTTGTCTCACTGGACTTTTAATAAAGGAATAATAAAGGAAGTATTGTTGGTCCACACTAGATGTCTGTACTATAATTTCCCTTGAAAATAAGACATTTTCCCGCTCTAAAAAGGAGCTTACTTTAAACATTCTTGCCCTCCCGTCCATCTCAGTATCAATCGAAGTAATGTATGGGTTACATTGTACCGTGTTTTCCCGTGGGACTGCAAAAGTTTACCGCAGTAAAAAAGTATATTATAACACTCTCCAGACCTCCTATCGCCATATAAAAAGTTTCTTTCCGTTTATTTTTAATTTAGGGCATTGTGGTCATATACCTATGTATATAACCACAATGTATCCTAAATTTATATATTCGCTGTACATGACGGAGGTATTAGGTTGAAACTCTGAACAATACATACTAATTCTAATTTGATAAAAACGGCCTAACGATTATTATCATTACTAGGAATTTTGCTTTCCATAAGTATCACTACCACATTTTCCTAATAAAAGTTTTATTAGCATATATCATATTAGAGCTAATTCTTATTAAGGTGAGTGATAGAGTTCTTAGTACGTATACACGTGTTTCAGATAAAGCCGTTAGATGCAAAACAAAGTCTGGACTCACTTGGACATGTAAAGCAGAGTTTTGTCATGATACAGCCATAGATAGTGGTTGGGTATACTCATTTCGTGGAATGTAACCTTTTTCGCGTTCTTAAAGAAACAATCTGGTCTCCAGATTTTGTTGAGCCAGTCCACGTCCAGGATTCTGTACTCTTCGTGCATATTTTCTGGCAAGCGAAGCCGCGGGTCCCTCCATGATTGCGCGAGAAAGACGTCTGCTACGTAAGTCTGAAATTTGATTAGTTTATGTAAAGGAAAGGTATGTTTCTTTATTTAAGAATAACGAATATTTGATTCATTTATGGCTATTTATATAGGTTTATAGAAATTGTTAAAGAAATAATTTTTCTATCAATTTATACTTTGTAAAGTTAAATAAAATTTTAGGCCTATAATAACAATAACTTTGCCATAAATTTTGAAAAAAAATCTATTTTCAGATTTTATTTATACCGCTATTATATTTAATTTAATTTATTATATTTAACCGCTATATATTCAAAAAAAATAATATCACAATTTATTTAGTTTTACTTTAAGATACCTAAATTTATTCATTAGTATGTAAGTCTTAAGCTTTCCCTTAAAAGTTTTAGAAAATTGTAACTAATTAAAGGTAAACTAACCATACTCTCTTCATTTATAGAGTCTAATGACAACACAGTCACGTGGAAGTACACTATCGTGGGTTGTCCCGACAGTTTGGGAGCTCTGTTTTTGTCATAATACTTTGCCTTCACTGGTAAAATGTCACGAAGAGATAAACTAGACTCAGCTTTCCACTCCATTTCTTGGTACGTGGCATTGGACCTAGAAAACGTGTGATTATCCATAATTTACATCATATTCGTAAAAGTAGAAAATTAAGTCGATATTTACTTAATTTATCTATTTTATTAATTTATTATAAAAAAATATTAAAAGTTTTGATGAATCGAATTAATGAATTAGTTGTGTAACAAATGTAGAGTCGACAACATAATAATATTAATTTATAAAATAAATAATTTTTTTCTTAAGCAACAAAAACTTAAAAGCTAAAATAAGCTTAAAAGCTTAAAAAAAGAGGATCTCAAATACTTACAGAAAGCTAACAGCGTGGACCCGACTGGCGTGCACTACGCGTAACAACAGAGGTATAACAGTCAACATCGTGACCTCGCACTTCATTTTGACCACTAACCAGATAACCACTCACTAAACACTATCACCGTTCTGACATTTCCGAAATTTCTAAAAATTTCTATATTAATCCTTGACAAGTCAACACATCTTGTAAAGTGAAGACTATTCGACGTTTCACTGTAATCTTTTTAAAGAAGTTACCTAACGTAATAATGCATTAACACGTGAAGCAGAACATGCATAAAAGATTCTATTACAAATGGAAATCTTGTAAAATATCGTTCCTTCTGTTACGCCACCAACTACAAAGTGTATAGCTATCGATTATTAGCCTTCAAGTGGTAAAACTTTAGTTGTTGTGTAACTCACTAATTACATAAAGTAGTATTAAATATGTAAATGATCAAATTTTGTGACGCTAATAATGACACTCATTTACTCTACATTTATATGGGATACACGTATCTTTCAGGGGACATTTTAAGAAAACTAAAGAATATATGGAAATGATATATTATGACGATTTGATGTTAAATGCATAAATAAGTTACTTCCACATAATTTTTAGTTTTATAATAGTTTAAACTATTATTGGTCATGTAGATATTTGACAAAATTGCCTCCAATTTCTATATAGTTTCGTAATGTAGAGAACTCGAGCTATATCGCTATCCAAATGAAATTTAAGCTACTAATAAATCTATAAATTCTGCTGCTAATGCATACCTAACCTAACTTACCTAATTTAAAAAAAAAGTTATCGGTAATATATATAAGTAATATCTATCCATATTTAATCTGCTTATATTTTGTATTTTTGTAGGTTTAAAAATTTATTTTTTAATTAAACCTTGTAGTTAGACATTTATAGAGCATCGCAGTACCGATATTAAAATAGCTTTCTGTAAAAATATTCAAATGTCTTTCAAGGCACAAAAGCTATAATATAAAAAGGTCTTCATAATAGTCAGTCTATCAGGATCCGACTAATTTATTGTATAAATAAGGATATTTTGACACAAGCTTTAAGACTTAAGTTTTTAAATTAGGGTGTGCGAAATGTGTTGCTACCTGAAATATTTTTTAAAGATAATACAGATGATTGACGTCATATCCCACGTGACAAAAATTTTATAAGCAATTTAATTTTTTACGGAATAGTTTTATAAAAAGCGAAGCGACAATTACTATTATTATTATTCTAACAGTTGCTATATTCGACTGGCAGTTTTCAATTTTCACGGTAGCACTTTATATAGTAAGTAAACAATACGTTATACATATACCATGTAGTATACTAGTTGAAAATTATTTAGAAATAAATTATTTTGGTCTGAAGGACCGAGAGCACAGTTTTCGAATAGATTTTTTTAATGTTAATACTTAAGTATTTTTTCATATTAAAATAAGACTGCATCGACACTGGACTTACAATAGATATCAGTTGTATGGTTTCTTCGCGTAGAAGAATTAATAGAGCAAGAGCTACAATAAAACACTAGTGGAACATTCCAGACTGTAGCCGCTTTATCCTTTATATACATATAGATTATTTTTTACATAAAATGTTAAAAATACATCAAAGGAATGCGGAATCAAAAGGAAAACGTTATAAATTTAAATATTTATACCGTAAAAGTAAGGCATACTAAGTCATATTTTCCTTTCTTTTGTTATAAAACACCACAGGGAAATAATGTTAAAATATCAAATACATACAACAAATATGCGAACTTTGTTAAATGCAAACATATACAATTATATCTATATGTATATAGTAGGAATTTAAAATTAAGTACGACACAACCTAATATGTAACAAATAAAATATGGTAATATAATCCAAGTAAGGTAATTAGTAAAAAAATATCTTAATGTTTCACTTCACACAATAGGTATTCTCCGAAATTATAGAAACTTTATTTAATTAAATGATAAAAATTGATTCGTTAAAATGTTACACACTCACAGATTATAAGCGTGAACGTTATAAGATTTCCTTATTAGGCTTTTTAGGTCATCACGTTATCAATCACCTTCTAATAACACTAAAAAATAAACACTTTCAGCACTAAATGTATATAATTATAATATAGAGTGGTCATATTGACTAGTAACGAACGACTGAAGGAATATACTGAAATGTTCGATATATGGTCCAAGTATGAGCGGGACTAAAGCGATAAGCGATTTAAATGTTAGTTTGAGAAGAAAATATTAGAATTATATAGTTTTTAATAACGTTTTGTTACTTAAACTAGCGTATTGCGGTTGAAATTGATATTATATAAATAAGGAGGTTTTATCATTTGTGGTAGAAGTTCGTAATACTTCCCTTACTTCTATCGCTTATAATAGTAACGCGTATCGATACTTAAATATAAAATTACTAACGTTTTCCCACTTCGTTTACGTAGTACATTATTATATCTTATATCCTTAAACGAGCAATTCTTGTATACATATATAGTACCTGGGCCATTGAGCTTCGCTCGGAGTTTTTGGTTGGATAGTACAATTTTCTTTTGAAAAAAAAACTAAAAACTTGAATAAATAAAAAAAAAACAAATATAAATTATACCTTTGTATCCGACCGGGATTCGAACCCGGACACTTATTTAATCTTGCACCTTGGCCGCTTGACCATGATGCTTATATCCGAACGTGCGAAATTATTGAACATAATATTTTGCGTGGAATAATGCAAAAGAAAACCGCATGAAAATTCGAAAACACGCTTTTTCCTAGACATAAGACTAATCTAGATCGATTTACCGCCCCCGAAACCCCATGTATCCTAAATTTCATGAAAATCGTTGGAGCCGTTTCCGAGATTCAGATTATATATATATATATATATATATATATATATATATATATATATATATAAATATATATATATATAAGAATTAAACAAAAGAACGTCCGCCAAAAGCCTTTCTTCACTTTATTTGTGCATTAACTTAATAAATTAGATAAATATTTTACAGCAATCTCTTGATTCCTCTTCGAGAGACTGCTTTAAAGTTTCTAGTAAAATAAAATGCACTCAGTAATGTAGCAAGCGAGCAAGGGGAGGGTCACAGGGTGGATTCGTAGGTGGTGCGGCCCCTGTCTCACCCAATTGGAGGTGACACCTATCTGTCTGCGATATGTAAACTAGAAAAAGTGTATCCACTAATTTTAGAATTGCCATTCTTTTAACCTTGCAGGTGCAACTTTTTTGGGAATGACACCCTTCCGTGAAAAACTTGTGAAAGCCTTTTCTGAAAGTCATTTTTTTAAATTATTTCCAAAAAAACAGTCACATCCACTAATTTTAAGAATTGCCATTCTTTTAACCTTGCAGGTGCAACTTTTTTGGGAATGACACCCTTCCGTGAAAAACTTGTGAAAGCCTTTTCTGAAAGTCATTTTTTTAAATTATTTCCAAAAAACGAACGCGTCACAATCGCCCAGGTACTAATAATTATATGTATGTATTAATCAACTGTGTCAATTAAAAGTAAAAGTTCGTTTAACGCAACCATTTGGAAAATTTGATGCCATTAGATAGAGGTATCAGGTTTAATTATTTACACATATTGTATCGATAGCTATAATGAGATTAGCTGACGGGACGAAGCCTTGAGCTGTTTGTGTAGTAATAGTCTGATAATGTCCACGACCCTTGATAATCATATGATCCCTTCTATTTCAATTTTAAATAAATATAATTATTCCACTGTTCGGGGTGGACATTTTCATTGAAAACGCCCGCTCTTCAGGTGTAAATTGTTTAGTGTAAAAAGAATTATGATAAAAATAGCAAATAGTGATAGAAATGTGTTTTGATGTTGATTAAAAATAATAAAAATATTTGCAATCGGCTGAGTTTCTCGCACTGGTCTTTTCTCCCTAATAATGTTATTTATTATATTTATCGAATAAAGTTTAATGATGAATAGATACCCTTTTTTATTTAGACAGGAAGGCAAAATTAAAGAAAAGTTGACTTAAAATAGACAACTATTAACTATAAATAGTTATTTAAGAAATACTTATCTATAAGAGATTACATGGATGCAATATATCGCTCTCATTGAGTTTTTTTTTTGACTAATTTATTCTATTTTCTTTCTTGTTATGCCGAATATTGTTTATATAACATATATGGAAAATGACGCTATCTTTCAGTGCAAGGGTTTTTAGAAAACAAAAAAAATTATTTATCTGATTAGGGAAAATTAACTTGTCTATAGATAATCTAAACATATAAGTAATAAAACAGTAACTTGATGAAATCTGTACATAAAATATATTTTTTAAAAACAATGACACCAACCACCCAAAACAGTATTTTATAAAATATCCGTTTGTGTGTTTGTGTGTTCGCTTCTCACGCAAAAAGTACTGAACCGATTTTGACTAAATTTTATGTAACTTTCGTTCCCACGGGTAAACACGGGTAAACTGGTTCTATGGAGTCGTCCTTAGAAATTTTATTTGGCTAACGCTGGCTTAATCTTATGAGATATATCAAAACAATATAACAGAAAATTGTAGGTCTTCATAAAACTTACAAATAAATCTACAAAAGCATTCTATCTCCTAAGGTACACTCGCAATAACTATTCATATCTATTTAAAACGCACCCGCGCGGAAAAGAAGCGGGGGTAAGTCACTGGTGTAGCATAAAGTAGTAAAGACCCTTATCTACATATATCTAACAATATGTGAAGCTGGTATCTGCATTAACAAATCTCTGCGCACACAAATTTCTATTCTATGTGCATATAAGTACATATAATAAAATTGTAACTAAACCGAATCTATACATTAAATATTTTTTTGGAAAATCTTTTTGAAATAGTTATTATTATCGATACAGAGGCCGAATCTATAGTTTTTACAAATTTTTTGATAGCTGGTTATCTGGGTCAACATATAGAATACTTTGTTCTCATCTCTAAAAAATCTATAGGTATTAACCGTTAAAATATACCTAGGGTCAAACACGAGCGGAGCGAGGGTGAGTCGCTAGTTATATTAATAAAATGCTGTAATTTTTTTTACAGAGCCTATTAACCCTAATAGAGGGGTTGTTATATAGTCTAACTCACATTTAAATCCAATTTAATTTATTTAACTTATTAAGCTTAAAATTGTATCATTATAGTGTCCTCTTGACCGATTTTGACCACGGCGGCCATTCTTACATGTGTGCAACATTTATTATGTATATTAGGTGTAATGTACAAATATACGCGCAAACTAAACTTGGCCTGATCCGGGACTCAAACCTCTATCTTCGCGATCTACGGATGTGAAGCCGTACGTGCTAGCCACTAGACCACCAACTCGTAACAAGATAGATACTACTTTCATTTACTCGTACATCAAAAAATAAATTGTCGGTATATTAAAAAAAATCGGACAAAAGCGAGTCTGACTCGCACATCAAGGGTTCTGTAGCATGAAACGTTGAAATAATTTTTTTTTGTGATATAACTACAAATTGAAGGGTTCGGACTTTTTCCTTTACTTCTGCTTAATAAGACATTGCTTCTTGTTCTGCTTGAAATTTCACGATTCTAGGTAGACGGGAAGTACCCTATAGGTTTTGATGCCCTTTCGAGTTCCCTGCGGTCCGTATCTTTTGATTGCGAAACGGCCCTATATTTTGATTGCGTTGACTTAGAAGTTAGATTTTTTCACATCATCCTAAGGATTGCAGAAATATTTGATATTAATTTGAACTTGATACCTCCACGGGTTTCTAAGAAAAAATGTCTTGACAGACAGACCGACAAACAGACAGATGTACGGACAATGAAGTGGTCCTATAAGGGTTCCTTTTTTCCTCTTGAAGTATGGGACACTAAAAATTATTAAAACATAGAATTTAAAAAGTTAAACAATATTGCCTTAGAGTGTATCTGGCCCGCGAGGTGCGGGCCGACCGCAGGGGTTTTGTAGTGAATGCGCAAGCGATAATGCAACGCCCCATTGCACTACGGCGACGGTTTCCGCTGTGGGTTTTAGTGAGTAGGAGTCTCACAGTACCTTGTCCGTTATGACGGTGGGCAGGATCCCCATGATGGGTTTCCCCAGCGTCAACAAAAAAAAAATAGTGTATTAATCTAGAAAGTTTGGAAAGATATTTCACTTTGAAGTTGCCTAACATCGGGCCCCAATAATATCTATCTACGGTTTTCTTTACAAGAGAAATTAAGCCAAATTCCTATCGCTTGTAAGAAATTTTAAAGATGAATAAGGTATTGAGATCTGCCCCACGAGAACCAAATCGATGGGCGTTTATGACAATAAATGTTTTTATTGAAATGAATTCTTTAAATGTTAAACCTATTTTGACAATACGTTTGGCTCTGTTTGTAGTGAATAGTGACCCCTACTTGTTGTACCAGCGGTTACGGGTTCGCATCCCGCTGGGGGTATTACTTTGTGTAATAAGCACGAATGCTTGTACTCCAGTCATGGGTGTTTATATTTTAAAGTTATATATGTGTAGTGTATCAACTATCTGGTATCCATAACACAGGCCTCGTAGCTTACCACGGAACTAGTGCTGTGTGTAAATGTCCCAATATAATTATTTATTATATTAAAAGTTTGCTCTTGCAAAAGTTAGTGTCATCGATAGCCGAGTCATAATAAGATTAGCAAGCCGAGACCTTGGGCTCATTGTATATCATTGAAAGGTATTACGTTGAGGGTTAACTTGACTGAGTCCATTTAAAGGTACCGCCGTGCCCTTTGCGTTGCATGGTTCAGATATCATAAGATTCTTAATATCTTTAAACGTTTTGATACTATTTAGTATCGAATCTAAAGAAATTAAAAAAAATACAAAGGTTTTAATCATGTAATTCAACTTAATTTTTAAATCTATTTTAACTTTAACCTTACCACCTCATGTTTCTCACTTGAGTTATACCAATAATTTAAATGAACACAATCTAGTTAATTTAATTTCCATTAATAGATTAGATATTAAGATCGATTAGATTAGAGTTTTTTGGACTTCAATTCAATACTTTGGTATATTTGGCTTTTAGGCATGTCAGTTGGGAGAGAAAAACGTAGGCAATATCTATTATCTCGTATTTAATTTGACAACTACTTCAACGTAAGTTGTGAGTTCAATTCAATAGATGGCGCTAAAAAAGGCAGCCCGAACGTATATTAAGAATTTAAAAAACATTACATAATTCATTGATCAATGTTAAGATATTCAATTTGATATATACCTAACTATATTTTATTTATAACTAGCGACTTACTTCAGAGATAGGAACGCATAAAACACAGACATCTGTGTCAAATTTCATTCAGATCCATTCAGCCATTCTGGCGTGATTTAGTAACAAACATCCATCCATCCTCACATTTATAATATTAGTAGGCTTAATGGGATAAAAAATAACAATGTAGATATAAATCCCTTTATTAATCAGTAAGTCTAGTACCAATGTGTAAGAAAGACATACATACATAACTTTTCTAATATTTACAATTTAAAAAGCCATCTTACATACATGGAAGTCCATATTTTACTATTTATGGAAAAAAATTGAGGCAGTGCGAACAAAGTGACCTATCCTAATAATAGCCTTGTATATTTTCTTTGGCAGTGGTAGCCCAGTGGTAATGCACTCGCTTGAGAAACCGAGTGAAGCGGGTTCAAATCCCAGTTCTCGGACTTCTGAATCATTTCCAACTTGATCACTACTTGTCTTACGGTGAAGGAAAGCATCGTGAGGAAATCTGCATGTCTGAGAGAACCACTGCCTTATAAAATGTAGTCGATAATTACATCCGTATTTTTGTCTATAACCAACTTCAACGAGACGAAACCGATTTTCATATTTCTTAAGTATGTATCTAATTGTTTTACATCATTTTGAAATCGATGTTTCTTTTAGCTAAAAGCTATCGTTAAATATTTATTAGCTATTTTTTTTACTTTATATATTCCACGAATTACATTTAAAAATTATGTTTGTAACATACATATATTGATACTTTTCTATTACTTATTTCTATATATACCAAATTCTCAAACTTTACATAAATTATTCCATTTACCATTCATTGCATAGATAAAAAAAATTAGTTATTCAAACTACTTTTCTTGCCAGTACCATAGATTCTTTGGCACAGATTATAAAACTTCCAATTATTTAATTCTTCTGGATTCTCTTTCACCATAGTCCTATATTGCGATCGTATTTCTAACATTTTCTTAGAACACACCAAAGCACTCTTCTTTAAAATGTCCGAAGCCTCCATCCATAGATAACTTCTAACAAATTTTGGGTTTTTAAATTTATCCAAATGAGCTAAATACCAAGTCAACAACCTTTCAATTTCAATATCCGACCAATTCTGTTCATTTTCATCTTCAGGTAAAGGATTATGATCTTTTTCCATACAATCTGTTAATGTTTTCTCTTTCATTGTAATTTCTAATAATATATCCTTATAAGGACTGTCCAGGTCCAAACTGAATGTTTGCTTCAAGTAATTAATTTTGCTATATATTTTATTGACTGGTTCACAAATAAATTTTGCTAATTCACTCCAAAGATACTTCTGCTCGAATTTGGGACTGACAAAATCTTCTAAGTTTTGCAAATAGTATTTTAGAGCTTTCTCCACTTTATCATCTGACATTGGAACATCTTCGTAGATATCATCCAAATTAGCATTACCTTTAATTGTTTTAACGATTTTAGGTTTGAATTTAAGTATTTTTTCAATTAAATTCGAATATGGTGTTCTATATTCATTATTTTCATTAATCAACTGTTTGTGCTGGTTTTTGAGTTTTAGATACATTTTCTTACACGATAGAGGAGTTTTTTCATCTAATTTAGAAGCGATTTCTGTCCACATTTCTCTTAAATTAATCTCTTTACCTTTATGAGCTTTTAGGTATTTTAAATATTGTATTAAGAGCTGTTTCTTACTTCGTCGGTTCCATTTAGTTATTATTGATTGTTTTTCTGTAACAATTTCTACGTTTTCGTCTGGTCTTTGCATAATTATTTGTGCATTGTTTATATCCTCGCCTTCGGGTATAACTATGATACACTGAAAATCGTCATCTGCAATATAAAAAGATATAAATGTAAATAAGTGTTATGGAATAAGTTTATCTACACTAATATTATAAAGAGGAATGTTTATTGGATTTTTGCATGTTTTTGTAATGAACAAACTCGGAAAAATGGGAAGGACATAGGATATTTTTTATTCTAGAAAACATCCCTTAAGGGGGTTAAAAAGGGACGAAAATCTGTATGTGAAATCAACGTAGGGACGAACCCGAGCGAATCGAGGCTGAGTTAAGAGTTTGAGAAGCTAGTTCCATTATAATTTCAATTAATATTATTTATAAGAAAAATATTTATTCGGCGGCGATATTTCCGACTGTAGGCCCTGCCTAATGAGAAGCAGATCTGGCCTAAGCTTGCAATACCATCACTCATATGCCCTTTAGATGCCCTCCATCATGAGATGAGAGGAACAAAAATATAAAAAAAAGAGTATGAGCAGTAACTATACTGTTTTTTCATTACTTTAGTGCAAAAAAATTTAGAATGAATGATTTTCATTCCATTAATTCCATTCATTCAACAGTATGGGTACTGTTTCTTTACTCTAGTGTCCATTACATTATTACTAGGCAGTGATAGTCCAGTAGTAACGCGCTCGCTTGGGAAACCGAGTGAAACGGGTTCAAATCCCGGGTTTCGCACTTTTGATATTTTCATGTGCCTGCATGTCTGAGAGAACCTAGCAAGTTTTCGAAAGACATGTTAAGTCCGCCAACCCGCACTTGGCCAGCGTGGTGGACTATGGCCTGTATCCCCTCGTACTGAAGGGGTCTCCCTTGCGTGTCCTGCAGCGGGACGTTAAAAGGGCTGTATACCATACATTATAACTACTAACCTTCTTGAATTTCTGTCTTAACAACACCATCGTAGTCACTGTGCTCATCAACCTCCATAGTTTCTAACATTTCTATCTCCTCATTCTGATCTCTGTTCTTATATATATCATCGATCATATTAAAATATTTCCAAGACACTTTCACATCAGGATTACGAGTTTTCATAGTTTTTAATTTTCTATACGACTTTCTTAGTTCTAAGAATTTTTCACAACAGCTAGTCTCTGTTCTGCCTAAGTCGCCGGCAATTTTCGTCCATTTGCTTTTTTTCTCTACATTATCCATTAAATCTTGGTAATTTTTGGCAAAATAATTGATTATTTGCTTAATTTCTTTAGCGGACCAATCTTCTGAATCGTCAGACTCAATCTTACCATTCTTCAGTTTAGATTTGATTGCTCTGTAACCAAAGACTTTCTTACACAAGCTATAATATGGCCAAAGTATTGGCATTTCTGGCTTATTTATTTCCCTTTGAACATATCCAGTGTAAACTTGTTTAAAGTTTCGGAACCTGTGGGCACATTCAGTTGCTGATATTCCTATTTGCCTCGCCAGTACTTCCCACAGTGCTAACTTCTTTTGTTGTGACGAAGCAAACTTATCTTTATTCTTTAAATAGTATTCCAATATTTTAAATGCTTTAGTATCGCCATTGCGTTTTTTTGAACGCTTCGCAAATCCCCTCTCGTCGTAAGACTCTTCATCATCTGTTCCATTGTCTATGAGTTTTTCGTCGCTATCTTTTATAGTTATTTTCTTGACTGTAAAATAAATATTATTGTATTAAATAATAATTTTTAATTTACATTTCAAAATAATCAATTGAATATTATTAATATGAAACTAAAAACAATATTATTTGAAGGATCAGACATAAATAGTTTTTACTTTTCAACCCTATGCATGTATCATGTATCAATACTACCCATTTATGTACATCTATACAGATAAATAAAATAGAAGCATCTGTTTGTAATGTCAAAATAACAGCTTCTTACTAAATGCATATGAAATTACATATGGTACTTATAAGAAAAACACCATTTTTAATTTTTTTCTCTGACTGTTTGTTCCAGTTATTCTCCACAATGGCTGGACTGATTTTGACGGGACTATCACTGGTTGATTGCTGATGCCAATGTTATAAAGAGTAACTTAGGCTACTTTTATTTAAAAAAAAAAAACAATAATATAGAATATATTTTTTTTAATATACATTAAGCTCACCTCCAATTTTACTAGACTTATTAACTTGACTCAGACCTTTTAGCTTTTCATAACCATCCAACAAATTAGTGTCCATTCCATAATCAAATATTCTATCAAAGAGATCAATGTATCGCCAATCTATTTGCATTTCAGGATCTTCTTTTTTATCATCTAGAATAGTTTTGTACAAAGCTGTCAAGTCATTCCACTGTTTCTTACACGAGTCTATACTTCTGTGTAATTTTTTAGCTAATGTCGCCCAACAAACATAATAACATACAGAGTCTTTTAGCATATCTATATTTTCATACAAATATTGTACTAATTCATCTATTTGTTCGGTTTTCCATATATCTGAGTCACGCCTTGTTGGATTCTCAACTTCATTTTCAACCTCTTTAGCTATTATATTATCAAACAAGATAGCTAATGGCACTCGGTCAACTAAATTGTAGCCACCTTGCATAAGTTGCTCAAAATGAGCGTTTTTAAGTTCTTCAAATTTTTTTTTACAACTATCTGGTTTTTTGTCTAGTAACCTACCTACTTCTTGCCAAAGAAACATATTTGGAATGGATGGATCTTGAAATTCATGTAAACAATCAAAACAGTATTTAACTAAAAAGGTTTTTTCTGTTTCATTCCAGAAATTCTCATCATTTTCGGAAGGGGAAGAATCGGGGCTATTTTGGATAAATTTACGTTGAAATTCTTCATCTTCACCAAAGATTTTATCAAAATATTTCATATATGGCCAATTGACATTTTCAGCCCCACTTTCTTTTCTTTTATAGACCATTCTAATATAATGCTGTTTAAAATTTAAGAAACGCTTATGCCAGTAGTCAACGTCTGCCTCTCCCAAATCCATAGCAATGGCTTCCCAGAGACCTTTTTGTGTATTATGTTTTTGAAAAAAAATTTTATGTTTTATATACAAATTTAACATAGATTCAACCTTTTCATCTTTGTTTTGATTTGTATTAACCTTTTTTACAACTAATACTCCATCCTTATTAACAACATTCTGTACAGGCATACTCATTGTAACAGATTCTTGAGTGGGCTCGTTTAGACACATTTGAACAAATGTATCGTCATGAAATGCTTGGTGACACAAATCATACATTGGCCAGTTGATAAAGGTACCTGTCTGGTTGTCAACTCGTAACTGAGCATATCTTCTCTTTAAATTTCTAAGTTTCACTTCACATGACAAAGGTTGTTTTCCAGCCAACATAGTCTTACATGCAACTGCCCACAAATGTACTTTTTTTGTTGTTCCACCGAGAAATGTTTCTTTATTATCAAGATAAAAAATGATGAGACGTCTGATTTCTTCATCTTCCCATACTTCATTGGCAACTTCCTCTGAAGCTTGGGCAATATCAAGTTCTTCAGCAGAATCTCCTTCTCCAAGATCTTCTTCCACAATATACTTGTCTGACAAACCCTGTATACTATTTTCATCTGTGTTATCTAATATACCAGCATTCAAATCTTCATGTTCTGCAATATATTTTAATTTCATTATTATAATTCACATATTATGTATAATGTTTTTTTTAGTTTTTACTTTACAATAATTATTCGTATTCAGAAAAACTTATTTTGACATAGAACTTTACCTTAAATAAATTATAAAATAAACTAGCAAACAAGTTATTATCATGTAAGAAACAACTAAGGATGAGCATAAATAAAAGCAAACCTTATATATAAATTGTTCTATGTGTCGTAATTTAAATACAAATACAAATTTTTAACACATGTTTTCCATATTCTTACCATCAACATAAAATAACAGTATATCTCCATTTGGCTGAACTTCAGTTTTAACCACAATTTGTTTTTCCATGTTTATTGTTTTATTGTCTCATTCAATACAATAATACCATATATTTAAGACAAAATTCTAGATTAAAGTAATTTAAACAATTATATCTTCCTATAAGATCAATGATCACTTAAAACATATTTATTTTATACAACAAAACAAAAAAATCACAATCATGATCACATCAAGATCTCCATTTTATTGATTCAATTTTAACGTAAAACAATATAGTTCTCACAAATCCGTATACATTTACAATAAACATTAATTAATACAAAACTTCGTTATTATTTGTTTTGGTATTTTTTGACATTCCCGGTAAAACAATCGGAAATCTCGAAAATCGAATTCTCTTTGTAAAAGCGCAGCAATGCTTTACTTTTGGCTTTTGTAACATTCCGCCATTTTATTGAACATATCTTCACAGATAATTAATATTCTTTCACACCTTTTGTTTTACGATATTATAAAGTCGAATAGTCTATTTTTTATCTGTGCCATAACGTTTTGTTAGAAATTTTAAAATAAACCGGCTACGACCTTTCCAATAATCATATCAATTTTTGAATTTATTATTATGCATGTCATTTATATATGTAATAAGTATTATGTACATTGTTATTTTATGTATATATATATTGTTATTTTTGGATATTCAAATTGTTTCATGTTTGATCATAACACCTCCAGGTAAATTTCTAAGAAATCTATTGTTATCTAACGCCGGCTTGTCCGCGGTCGTTGAGGGATTAAAGCGAGAAGATACTTCCCAATATAAAAGAAAAAGTTAAATATTGATAATTTTTGCGTACTCGGGTTTTATTAAGAGATTTATAGGAATAAATAAATAGGAAGAATTGAAGTGGGTTTATAATCTTTTTTTGTCTAATATGTGCAGTGTTGTTAACATTGAATTAATTCAATATTTCTTTTCTATATCAATAAAAACAATTTAACCAAGTATTAAAGTTTTAATTTCAATTCATTATCGTGATTTATATTTTTTGTATTAGACTTTTTTACATAATACTTTTACTGTTAGCAACTAAGCATTATCGCTGAGCTTTCGCCTTTACAATCATTAAAAATCTATGAACTTATCTTAGTGCACGCCACTGATCTCGATATTCAGCTCTATGCACTCAATCATTATTTAGCCACTATGTATCATATACCTAACTGCCTCGGCGGTGTAGTGGCTAGCATATACAGCTGCACAATGTGCAGTGCACATCAACAAGTTTAGTTATTGAGTCTTTCTGTATAGTAAGTCTTAGTAACAGCCCGGAGTTGGGAAGTTGGCGGTGTTTCACCCCCGTGCCTCGGAGAGCACGTACAGTCGTCAGTCGGTCCTGCGCCTTAACTCTCACCGGTCGTGTCTCGTGTCGTCCCACCGGAGTATGAGAGTGACAGGAACAGAGTGCACCTGTGTCTGCGCGTACACTTGTGCACTATAATATCTCCTGCGCAGTTGGCTAGTCTCAATGAGATTGACCGCCGTGGCCGGAATTGGTCAGGAGGACATTATGTGTCGTATATTGTCGCTCAACCTAGCTGGAGAGCAGGCTACTTATTAAACCCTTCTTGCAATGTCGATTAGTGATTACTATCATTCTAAGTCAGATCACTTCATTTTGATCCAATCCCTTGGAAAAATATGAGTACATTCTGGACCATAGCTCATTTGCCATTGCTATTAAAGTGACTATAGATTTAAGACTATGTACTGATATTGAATTTTATAGATTGTGAGCAGGTGTATCATAAAATGTTGAGATTTAATATCCTAGTTCAACAATTCAAATAAAACTAATATCTGTAAAATAAAATGACAGGTTCTTTATAATCTCACAATCTCTTTCATGTTCAGTTGTTGCCAAGTAAGGCATATTTAAAAAATAAATTACTTAACTAAATATTACTTAATAAGGGGAGTATTATGTCACTTTATTTTCATTAAATTCTATCATTAGTTCTGATAAATCATTGCTGAGTTTCATGAAATACATTGGTTGTGTTTGCCCTGGAACAAATAAAAATATATGAATTATATTATATCTACTTAAAATATTAAATGTAAATCTTGAAACTTCTATGATGTAAATCATTTATTTTAAACCAAGCAGCTTATCCATACTAATGTTACAAGTGTGAAACTATGTTTGTTTGTCCTTTCCCCTCTATTATTATTATTGTATTGTATTGGGTGTGGTGCCGAGGTCGTTTCTCCTCTAAACAAACCAACGAATCATATTTTTTTGTATGGACATAGTTCAAGGGTTGGAGAGTTACATAGGCAACTTTTTATTGCGAGAGATTATCTTATTCCCAGGGGAAAACACGATATAATGCAACCCACAACAATTCATCATACCTATGTATATATTATTCCCTCCTAACCATTAAAATAGGGAAAAACCCAAGGAAAGTGTGGGTGAGTCGGCTAGTATATACATATACATATGTACAGTTAAAAAAATTGGATTCTACTTGACCATGAACAATTGAACATGAGCTTTACAAATATATAAAATTGGGGGCTTAAGTTTGATTTGATCTAACATTTGATTTGATCAACTGTCATAAAATAGTAATACATATATAAGCACCTGAAACAGGTATTTCTACAGATGCCTCCATTTTAATGTCCATTATCTGATCACACACATTTACATCTGCAAAAACTAACTCAGGAGTGCATTGTGCTGTCTTTTTAGGTTCAGCAGATGTACTTGATGGTGCTACTTCTTTAACGGTCTCATTAATCTTTTGTTTTGCTGCTTTTTCTTCTGCTGATTTAAGAGCTCTGTCTATTTCTTTTCTTATATCTCTTTTAACATCTTCAGACAAGTCAATTCCACTGTCATAGTTTCTTATTCTGATATATTTCATAACTGGTTCATCATCACTAGATAGTTCATCAGGGTTTGTGCCTGGTGTAACATGTTCTGATTTGAAAAATTTCCTCCATTTACTAATCAAATCATCTGCTAGTTGCTGCAAAATAATATATCAATACATATTTATATTTTCAGTGAAATAATACTACATGGTGAATGAAAAACACACATGCTTTTTAATGGTTGATTAAAATAGTTACTACATATATTGTTAAAACTGCCTCAGATTCTTTAAAATTAATTTTAAATGCCTCTGAGAGCATGTAAAGCCATTGGTCCTGCATTTTATTTCTCACTAGTTGTGTCAGGAGGACATTATTTTTATTATTTTATACTTACAAATTTAATAGACTTGGGTATCCTTAACATATAATGCTGTGGATGAGAGCCAAGCATTTCACATTTTTGACATAGATCATAATTATCACAAGTTACACATTTATAACGAAATCCACAAATTGGTTCTGAGCAGCTATCACAAACTACTCCTTCATGTTTTTCAGGTTCTATATCTGTTTCATCTTAAAAAAAATATGTACAGGTAAAAATTATATGAATTACAAGTTTATTCTCCGAGGCGTACATATTGATTTAAATATTTTAACAATTTTATATAAATAAATTAATAAAGCAATTTATACACTTATATAAAATCACCATTAACTGATCCTACTAAGCTTTTGCTTGGTACAGCATCATTAGTAAGGATTCTGTTTTTCATACAATTTGGATGGAAATGTCGAGAGCAAAATCTAAGTGACTTCCGAAGTCTCTCCATATCCTGCTCTAAGAGTTCTTCTTTTCCAGCTAATTTGAGCCATTGTTTTTGTCTAGAATATTGTAACGTTAACGTTTTTCATTGGTTTGTATAAAATAGAACAGATATTGAATTTCGATTTAATTAAAATTCATTAAAAGACTTACCGGTGTTTTTCTTTCGGTAAACTATAATAGGTTAAGTGTTTGCTAGCTCTACTGTTACGGCCACAACCTACCACACAACAATAGTTCACCATGGCAAGCTACAAAATAGAAAATAATTATTATATGAATTATGAATTATCTGCAACATATTTTCTTGTAGAAAAATAGGTATTTATTAATATTTATTTTGTTACGTTATTCAGTTGCACAGACCAGGAGGCAGGAACAACAACAGTTTATTTAAGTAGCAATATACTCTTTGTCTAAGAACAACAGTAAAGTCATAAATAGTAAACAGTTGAGTTGCACAGATAACTATTACTATTTATTACATTTAAACCATAGATGAGATAAAAAAGAAATTTTTAAATGTTTTCTCTAAAAAGAATCTATATTTTAGAACATTTCTTAATTCATGAAGTTTGTGATTATGATCCGTAGTTCAAGATATCAGTTTTTTATTTTCACTCAATATATTTTCCCGACAGGCGACATCATTTTTTCGTTTAGTAACTATTTAAAAATTGTTGAACTAATTCAAACTTCAAAGGGTCTTTAAAGTTTAAAGATAAAGTGCTCATGGGAACCTTTTGTAACCAATTTTTTATCAAAATCGGTTTAACAGTATAGAAAACGTGTTGTGGAAACGCTTCAATCAATCAATACTTCTTTTATTTTACATTAAAATACAGTAGTTACATATTTAATAAAAAAAGATAAAATACTTAAAGAAAAAAAAACGAAACAATTTATAAATTTATTTTTTTATTAAATAAATCAGTCTTACATTTAAGTCTCACTGATTACCAACTAAAAGCTTATAGGAACTCAATGGCATTTATCTTCAGCTATACAAGAGCCTTCTTTAGATTCTTTAGATTCCTTTCGGACAGGTCCTGTTTGCGTAATAGGCACCACTCTCTCTCCTTTAACATCAACTTCTTTCCTGGGTGCTGTTATGGTTAGAATACCATCACTCGAAAGTTGTGAAACTACATTATCAGACTCGGCTCCTTCGGGCAAGGCGTATTTTCGCACGAACTGTCGCGAAACAAATCCATGTTCATCTTTTTTCTCCTCATGTTTAGCTTCGATGACTACGTACCCATCAGCGGTCTTCACACTAATTTCATCTGGTGCAAAATGCTGTACATCCAAATTAATTGTAAACTTATCTTTATCAGTCTTGATAGTAGAACCCAAGTCTCGAGTAATGGATTCGAGATAACGCCATGGTCGGTAGTAATCTCTCATTATCCACGGAGACATCATTGAAGTTATCAAATCATCGGGGGTCAGTGATAATCCGAAATCCTGGTCAAATAGTTTGTTTCGGCGATTTTGCGAACATTCTTGCGAACTTTCTTCACCTTGAACAGCAGCGGAAATAATAGCCACGATGAGCAAATACACTATTTTTCTCATGTTTTTATTTTGTTTGTTCGTTTGGACACTGAAAGCTTTTACAACTCTTCGATTTCACAGAGACGCAACAGCGAACGATAAATTAAAATTACGGCGCCTAAGCGTCCGTCAGCCTTTTATATACCCATCCCGCCATCTAGTGGCGGATGGAAACTTCTCGATTATTTACGAGTGACGTGTCTCCTATCACGAATACGGGAAAGCCACGTATTTTTCTCAATTATCGTCAATATTTTAATGCATACGATAAGAAAATCGATAACTTTTGTTTATCAATTGCATTTATAAACTAAAATTATCGAAATATTTACTAAATATTTCTGTTTATATCTGAGACCTCTAGTGGAGAGTAGCGTTGTATATAATTATGTCACTAACCTTTCTCAATGTTACATGAGATGTGTCTAGAACGGAGAACCCGATCGATACTTTCCAGACGCTTCTAGGGTGTCACGGTATTTTCGATCTTATCTCCGCTTATATTGAGTTATCTATTGAGCATTCAAGAATTTTCTTGTTTACAAACTAACTTTTATGAACGAATAGATTATTTCAAAGGACTTTTTTACGCTTACTCAAATAGTTAACAGATTTTATATATATTAATTATAAGCTACCTAATTTGCATGTATATGTTATTTATTTGTATGTTTGTTACACAATATCTTGATCAATTATTGTGAATCGATTTATTTTTTAATGAATGGGTTATACTTACCTAAACTAAGGATAATCAATAAATAGTCTATGTATAAATGTGATAATTAAATTTATTTTATATACTTAATCAATTATTTAGGGAAGAATAGATGAAGCATGACATAATTAATTTAATAACATTTTAAAAGTTCATTAATCAAATGGGAAAAAAACGAATGCTTGTTTTTATGAATGAGTCTTTAGTTCTCTATTGGTTTTGTCTAATAAAAAAATAAGAGTGGTGGAACATATATTATGTAACTATAAAAAAATATATGAAAAATTAATAATTATAAAAAACTTCCAGGCACTAAAAAGTAAAAAATAACTGAAGGAGGGTTTTCCTTTAATATAGATAATTAATCAAATATTTTCGAATTTCGAAGTCGATAACAGCCAATGCAAAGCAAGGCAAATCTATTTCGATACGTATAAAATATTATAGATCACAAATTAATGTATAATATTTTACTTAACTATAAGATTTCATAGCTTGTCATATTCACCTATTAGATATTTATATCTTAAACTTTTAAGCACTATCGACTTGCAATGACTTAGAAAATGTCTGATTAGGTATCTATTAAAGCTTTCCGTCTCGTTATATATACGAGTCCCGGAAAATCGAGACTCGGTGTGGTCTCGAAATTCGGGAAAAACGATACTTTCGAGACTATTTCAAAAATAGCTTTCATACTCATAGGCTAGGCAGTTAGGCAGTCGGTACAAGGTATTTCAATGAAGTACTTTATTAATCATACTGTTACAAACTCAAATACAAGTAAAATTAACTATTATTTAAAGTAGTGTAGCTGTAGCTCGACGTATCAATAAGTCAGGCCGTTATACGTTTTAGTCCATATCATAAAAACTACTGAACCGATTTTGATGAAATCTTTACTAGTTAACCCCAAGATTAAGTAAATGTAAGCAAATAAAAAAAAACGATCACGACCCAAATACTAGTTTAATGAAATTCATGGACAAACATATATACATACATGGATACAAACATTGAAACATACCTTTAAAATGTTTTTTTTTATATTTGTTTGAAAGCGCTAATAGATTTTCACATGTGAATATGTTGCAGTTCTAATAATATTACTAAAATACTTGTCGAATTAATAACCTCCTTTTTTTGAAGTCGTATAACTCTTATAACAGAACTATATTACTATATGTACTATAATATATATACTATAAGACACTCTTGTCTTAAGCGTGAGATCCTAAAAATCCTAATCGAAAATAAGCTTAATCATACTAAAGTAAAACATGTATGGTAAAATTTAAAGTACGGGGTGTAAAGTTCTAAAAAAATTGATAGAAATAATCAAACTTAAAATTATCTAAAAAAAAACAGTTTGGAAGGCGTTAACAGACGTGACTAGCTGTGAAGTTCCTAGTATATACCAATGTACTCTGTGCTGTGAAGCGCTAGTAATCTGAATACTTAAGTATCGACCTCATTAAAATACCGTGTCGCAGGTTTATGAAACATACGTTATTTATTTTAACATATTTTTATTAGTCTGCTTGTGCGAATATATCTATGTTTATGTACGTATATATATTAGATGAGATCTGATGATAGAGTTAGTGGAAAACTTACAGATTACAGTGTTATTAAAAAAATCCTACAACATTAAGTTTATACTAATAATTCCAATTCAATATACCTATTACTCTAATTACATTTGGTAACGAAGGTCCTGAAGTTTGAAGGTAAATATGCAGCTTATTTTCTGATTTTATCTTTGCCATGTTTCATATCCATAAAACTAATAGGTAGATCAAAATGTACATGATGAATTTCCGTGCCGCGTGACCTGAATTAAATTGCTCATACTCCGTGTCTGCAACTATTAAACAAGGGTTAAAATAATGTACATAAATATGGATACGAAAGCGTAGATAAAAATTCTATTTTTAATTGAAGTGTTGTTTGTATATTTTAAGATAAGATAAAATAATGCTGCAACTCTTACTTTTATTCATCGAAATAAACTTTACTAATAATTACTTGTATTGGAAATAAATGATATTTTAAATTTAATTTACCTATATGAGATAATGTAAAATTTTAAGATAAACTTTATTTATTTTCTCCTCCTTTATCATTTTAATCTGAGGTCTAGAAAGGGACGAAGAGTGGAAATGATAGAGAGTAAAGACTGAAATGGTATTATAATAGTCATTTTATAATATCACTAGTGACTTACCCTCCCTTCGCTTGGGTGCGTCCTAGGTACGTTTTAAATAGATAAAAACAAAAACAAACCTATGCCACGGTAACCCTTCATTTTCCCGGGATAAAAGTAGCCTACATCTTATTCCAGACTATAATCTATCTCTGTGCCACATTCAGATCCGTTCAGCCGTTTTGACGTGAAAAAGTAACAAACATCCATACTTACAAACTTTCACATTTATAATACTAATACGGATTATATACACAAACCTTCCTCGTTTATCACTCTTCCTATTAATAAAAACCGTATCCAAATCTGTAAGAAGTAAGCGGAGAAACAGACAGAAGCAGACAGCGACTTTGTAACCTGAATAAATATGTAATGCCCCAGGATTTTTTTGAATCTGATCAATGCCCTAGATTGATAAGGAGACCGAGAGTGATGTGATGACTGGTACCAAGGACCTATGTAATTATTTTTTAGCTTTTAGTACAATATCTACACTATTATTATATTTCTTTTCAATAAAATCGTTTAATAAAAAAACCTATTTAATTATATGTATGAATGATATGATATGATTTTTTATCCTTAATTACTTTTAAACATATAAGTTGTACCTGTATATTTATGTTTTTTTCAGGGTGCATAAATTGGTGCCTAGGATCCGCTATTTTCATTTTTAATAATATCTATATAGCCCATGACACTCGCATTATCAAGACGAATCGAATGACGTATAAATCATCAAAATCGGTTAAGCCGTTTAGTAATTAGTAATTAGTAATTAAGAGGGAACATAGAATCGGACATACATACATACATAAATACATACATACATATACAAACAGCCTACAAGTCAAACACATAACCCTCCTTTTGGGCTTCGCCGTAGTCGGGTAATTACTAATTAAAGTTTCAAATCTCTCTATTTATCTAATCTTGATTGAAAGAAATCCTTTAAAAACAAATTATTTAATCATTATAATTTTTTAGATCAATGCAAAGGTATATTACTATTTCCAAAGTACATTTACGTCTCACCAGTATCATAAAAACAAACAATCATAACAACAATAAACATAATATACATTTAACATAATTATACATTTTGTACTACCAGAAAACACGATATAGACATTTAAAGAAAAATAACATGCCATGTTTGCTTTTCAATTGCTCTTTCTATCAGACATTCTTAAAATCAATAAAATACTTGGCACGAAGCGAACAAAAGGGTTCTAGCTGCACCTAGAAAGTTCGCCCGTCGGCGCCGCACCGACCCCGCTTCGTATCTTTGAGACTTTACTAGAAAGTTCCACTCGCCGCTAGATGTCGCACGCGCTACAATATATAAGCTTCGCCGGCCGGCGATTCGACAGTCATTTTTTGATAACGCTACAAAACAAACATTTCGTTGCAAAGCACTGCTATAACAAGCTTCTCACTTCTCAAGTGAATATATTAAACGAGAACAAAATGTCTCTACTACCTTTCATCCTCGGCTATGATCATCCACACCGTCTCGTCAACCAGGACTTCGGCTTGGCGCTAACCCCGGATGATTTGCTTACTGCAGCCGTCGTTCCCATGCTCTCTCGGGACTATTATCGACCCTGGCGTCAGATGGCTGCCGCAACACGAGATGTCGGTTCCACTATCAAAAGTGATAAAGATAAGTTCCAGATTAATCTGGATGTTCAGTATTTCTCCCCCGAAGAAATTTCAGTGAAGACCGCCGACGGCTATATCGTTGTCGAAGGCAAGCACGAAGAAAAGAAAGACGAGCATGGCTTCATTTCCCGTCAATTCACACGTCGGTATGCCCTTCCTGAGGGATGTGATCCTGAAACTGTCGAATCCAGGTTGTCTTCAGACGGAATTCTCAGCATCATTGCTCCAAAAGTAGCTCCAGCTTTGAAGACTGAGAGGAGTGTACCCATCGCTCAGACTGGGCCAGTCAGAAAGGAGATCAAAGATCAGACCTCTCAGGCCAATGCCAATGGAGAGCAATAAGTATTAAATTTGAAAATGTAATATATTGTTTCTTTGTAGATACTGAAAATAGTATCGTCGCGTGTTTATTTTTATGAGACGACTGATTTATTTCCATTCATGTGTATGCTATTGAGTTCTTACTGTACTGAATTATTTGTAATAATATACAATTTGTAATTTACTGTTAGCTTTAAGTGTATTTAAATAAAAATAAAATATATTAAACATAAAATCATTGCTTTTATTTCTTGCCCAATTAACTAGATTTTTAAAAAAATAGGTCCCTTAAATCATGGACACAAGTAAATTAAGTATCTATGATAATATCTGGAATGTACCAGAAATAAATTAGGAATTTAGTCAAATAACTGAAAACTTCTTTTATGACGTTTTATTTATAACCCAGAGCCAAGAAGGCATGTTATAATTTGTGGTAAATCCTATTAAAATTATAAACGCAAGTTTGTAGATATGCATGGATGTATATTTGTTACTCTTTCACGCAAAAACTGCTGCACAGATTTTGATGAAACTTTGCAGATAATTTATAAAGATGTAATACTACATTAATGTGCGAACGCGAGAGGACCCGCGGATAGACACTAGTGATGTACTAATAAAAATAATTCTAAAGTTTTCAAAAAATAGAGTACTTTTTTAATCTTTTCTGTATTTTTTTTATTTTTATTTAAAGACTACTATGGAGGTACACGTAAGGTTAAAGCCTAACAAATACGTTTCCTACCGACCGGCGACGACTTTTCCATATTAATGTTTTGTTTGCCGATGTCGACACGGCTATTTTTCATCCATTTTTTTATATTGTAATGATGTTCTCCTAGCCGATTCCGGCTACGGCGGCCAATCTCATTGAGATTAGCCAACTGCGCAGGAGATATTATAGTGCTCAAGTGTACGCGCAGACACAAGTGCACTCTCTATTCCTATCACTCTCATACTCCGGTGGGACGACCACTCGACACGACCGGTGAGAGTTAAGGCGCAGGACCGACGGCTTTACGTGCTAATAAAGTTTTTATATTACGCTAATATCATATGAGTTAAAGATTGTAAGAGGGCTTTTTACTACATCTAATCTAAATTCTGACAATTATTATTTTTTTAATAATTCAACAGAGTGGAACTGTGTGTAAAGTCCTATTTCAAGGCTGTAGACTCTCTGGTGAATTAAAATCATTATAAAAAATAAAAATGCAAAACAATTTCTAAATATTGGTATATTTTCAAAAATATCGTATTACATGACCTGCATTATCTATTTACAAAAATAAAAACATAAAATCAATATTTCCAGTTTCTTGATAACTGCCAGTTGGGATACAAAAATGAAATAAAGCACTACAGTAGAGGGCTCGCGAAGTACACACTTATAATTTATATTTACATAATAAGCATGCAAGCGCTTCGTTATTACATAATATATTACGTATAAAAAATTTAATTCAATTTACTTAAATTTCGATCCTTAATACAAGTTAGATGTCATGTGTTTTTATACTTAATGCCAAATTAAAAATAAACTAGATCAGTATGAAAAATACTATTTTCAGGGTCAAACGAGAAGTGTTGGCGTGAGCAAGACTAGAAAACTTTAAATACAAAGCGCATATCAAATACAGAAGCGACATGAGCATTTAATTTGCACTCCTGACTGAAGTTCGTCAAAGTGGACGTTGTTCAAATATACTTTCTGAGCTAAGAAAATTATTGCAAAGGAACCTACTAAGGACTTACATTATACTTTTTTAACAAATACTTTTATAAAATAATGTAAAGAGATGATGAAGGAATGATTTTGTGCATTACATCTAGATCAGCACAACCATATATTTTAGAAGAAATACGAATCAGAAAGTATATAAAACAACTAGCATACATTCATTATCAGATTTTACCTAAACTTATGTACTATTTATATAAAAAATCGTAACGTCCTACTGTTTATTATAAAAGCTAACACACATCAGTCGCTCCGGGGGCTTGCGCGAGTCTCCGCTAATACTAAAATACGTTGAACACAATTGTATAGAGATCGTCCGTCCGTCAAAACATAATACTTTAGAGTTAGAGCCATTTTAAAGGAACTACTTTTTTAATTATAATTTTCTTCATATAATAATATTATTATACACTGCTATGATAATGATTTAAAATTAAACGTTTTAATACTTGTTAGTACACAAGTATGTATTCTTATAATGTGATATGCTTTAAATATTTTAAATTTGTAATTGTTTTATAATAAAGAGTTACGAAATGAAAATCATATGTCAGAGCAATGTATAACATCAAAATACATTATAAAAACGAGCCTCTGCTGGGAAATCACACGCAGGCCCCGTGATATAATACGATTTACGGACATTTCCATAGTATGTATAATCGACGATTTAGTTACATGGACGTACATATAAATTTATAATCATATCATAAAATAAACTAAAAAATACGATTAATAATTTTTGAGTTTTACTAACTAATTAAAAAAAACATATATATAAATCTAAAAACGTCGATTATATTTCATATAGACAACTGTGATGTGTAATAAAGAAAACAGTACATTAACAAATATGAAATTTTTTTGAAAATTCTTTATCACTTATTTAAAAAAAAATTACGTCCAAATCTTTTTATATATCAAAAAGCATGTGTACCAACATTACATCACAGTTGCGCCACAGACGCAGTAAGAACACTATAAATATACATAAAAATAAAATTTATTATAAATTCACAGCGTTCTAACCGCGTCGATGGCCATACCCTCCAACAGTGTATATTTATATTAGCTCATACAAAATCTAGTATAACTTATCCTACCTACATAGGGTACAGTCGTAATGCCACGCCACATATATAAGAGTGGCACAAACAGAAATACAAACAAATAGTAAATACATCGAAAAATCCAGAGGCCGTGCATAAAGATCCGTAGGTATAGAACCGTCGATAATGATGTCATTTGCGCATATTCATATACACATATCGTTTTCTTGACAATTTTCGACTTTAAAATTTTAAATAAATTAATTTTATATTGTTTTAGAAAATAGACTTTTCTAGCTTATTATAATAATAACGATCATTACCGATAGTGCATGAGTCTTCGAAATATATTATAATTTTTAATACCCTATATCTTTTATATGAGATGGATTATTTACAGGGCGATAAAATTTCGATATTTATTTAATTTAATTACGTGTGGTAACAATTATGCACAAGCCTCAATCTAATTTGTGCTTGTTGGGGGTATAAATTTGGCCCTTAAATTACTGTAGGTTTTTAAAAAACCATTTTAACATATTATAGAGTAATAAAACGAGCAAAATGCGTGAATGGCGTGCCATATATTAAAAATAAATACATACTATAACTCAGTTATCCGACTCTCCTCTTTGGACTTATATTTTATTTGGTATACATACCAAAAATAATTATAATAAAAAAAAACGTTGACAACTGATATTCGCTTTGGACATAGTGAATAACAACTTATATGGTAATGTGTCAGATCTATTTGAACTAAAGTCTCTATCACTCTATTGGACAATAATACGTTAGGTTTGAACCATAGACATAAAGAGTGGACTGAATGTTTCTTTGCCAGCCATCAGCTAAAAATGGCGGCAAAGCGACAGAGACAAAACGAATGTGAGGTTAGAAGTCTTCTGTATTAATTAAATATAGATATTTATAGCCATATAACCTTCCATTATAATATTATAATTTTTTTACATCCCATTTATTTCAAATTGGAATAAAAGACTGGTATTGGCCGCACGTTCGCTTTCTCTCTTTCTAGATATATGTTTGTCTATGGTTTGAACAAATGTGTATGGCAACAAAATTATATCGCAGTATATCTACATACATATAATGATTTAAAAATTATTTATCTAGTGGAAAATACTAGGAAAATGAATATAGCATGCTAAATTAAACTACCTAAGCACTATAGTCAGCTATTTCGAAACACTGGAGTAATTTTATTGATTTTTTATAGTGTGGAACGAACATATTGTATATTATAATATCATTTTAAAAATATATTCTAAACATTATGTAAAAATTATTTTCGATCATATATTTGATCACAATCTTAGCCCTCTCCAAATATTCAATTCATGCATTATAATATACAATATGACTTTTCTAAGCATATTCATATGGGAAATGTTCTAGACTACTTCGACTTCGGCAACACTTACAATTTATATATATTAGATAATACAAATTTGGGTTGAATATTAGAATCCTACATGTGATAAATCGTCTATTGCTTATATCTATGATAAAGTAGTGTCTTGACAGAAAAATCTTACAGAAAAAAGAAAAAAATATCAAAAAATTAAAAAATATATATATATAATTAATGAAACATTATTTGTTTATGAAGAATATTTTTAAGCGAAATTTAAGCGTAAACACAATTATATTAAATTTGAACTGTCAATTTTCACATAAATATGGCCAAAAGCCTCAATTAACTGTCAAAATATGTTTCACATGGGGCATTGTTGACATTAGAGGGTAGTAGGTAAAAAATATAGTCAGCTCACTTATACAATAGTTTAGCTGTCTTCCAGTAGATTGTGTAGTTCCGCGTAGTTCAGTATGGCACGGTGTAGGAATTCGTATTGCAACTGAAAATAATATTAATAATTTTATTATATTTTATTTTACGATTGATATATTACTTGCAGCAGGCTTACTGAACGCGCATATTTGACATTTTGAATAAATTATCTTTTCGGAATTCAAACGGAATTTAAAATCCGCGAAAAAATCTCTCATCTGTCTCAGTGAGATTGGAAGTTGTAGCCGACATCGTTCAGGAGGTTATATAACAACTAGCGACTCACCCTCGTTTCGCTCGGGTTCATCCGTAGCTAGCTTCCCAATACAAACTTTCATCCCCATTTCCACTCCATTAAAGGATAATTTCCTGGATAAAAACTATTTTATGTCCTTCCCAGGGTCTCAAACTTATATTCTTACCAAATTTCATCTTAATCGGTTCAGTTGAACCAGAGATTATCTCCTACAACCTCACAAACGTTACCTCTTTATAATATTAAGTATAGTTAGGCAACAACCAACACACACAGTGTGTAATATACTAACAAACGTGTCGATGGTGCGCGCGCGCTGCGAGCGCACCTTGCGCGCCACGCACGCCACGTCCACGCGCCGCTCCACGCGCAGCTGCCAGATAAGGATGCACAGCGCCACGAACAGCGACGACCGCTCCGTGCCCAGTCTACCCACACACACACATATATGTAATATAAGCTACATTTGTTAGAGCTTAATATTATTATTATTATACTAGCAGAACCCACGGCTTCACGCGTTCAATCTACAAAAATAAACCACTTTTGTTTTATGTTATAACTTATATAACGACTTACCCTCGCTTTGCTCGGGTTCGTCCCTGGGTACGTTTAATTTTTTTTGAGCGGAACCCTAATACTTTTTCTAAAATAAAAGTAGCCTATGTTACTCCCTATAACATCAGCTATCTTCCAGTGAAAGTCCCGTGAGAATCAGTCCAGCCGTTTCAGAGATTATCCGGAACAAACAGACAGACAAATATTTTAAAAATTGTGTTTAGCTTATGAGTACCGTATATAATTTCATATGCATTTAGTAAAACGCTGTTATTTTGACATTACAAACAGACACTTCTATTTTATTTATCTGTATTATTTATTTGTGTAGATGTATGTATGTATGTATGTATGTATGTATGTATGTATACAGTACTGACTGGCAGTGCACAAGCAGCGGGTCGCGGCCGGGCTCGTCGCCGGCGTCGGGCGGCGCGGCCAGCTCGGCCAGCTCGGCGAGGCCGCGCGTCACCTCGGGCACGTGGCCCGCCGCCGTGGGCCAGCCCTGGTACTGCAGGTGGCGCACGCAACGCCAGTCCCCGCTCTGTTCACACACACGATATGTCACATTTTTATTTTTATTTATTCTTTTTTTTTTCATTACGTATAACGCTTGGATTATGTAAAAAGTTGAAATGTCAATGAAAATGTCTTATTTTGAACGAAAATACCAATTAGAACACAGTTTAGCGTCTCACATAGTATTCATTGTAGTTTTTTTTACTTTCATAAATATATTTTTTTTATCAGGCACACAGTCTACAGAATATGTGAATATCAGAATATGTAAAGAAAAGATCAATTCGTAGGACATTTTTTTTTCGTTATTCGGGGCAAAAATTAAGCCTTATCTATACCCTTCCTTTCACTAATAATAATAAGAAGTATTTATTGACCTTTATCCTTACATAATCTAGCAAATGAAACTTAACTTGTGTAACATACAAAATAGATAACTAATGAATCTATATTTTTAATTCAATTCATTCAAAGTTCAATAGTATTGAGTTCTATATGCAAGTACCAACATCCAATCATTTCTCACTCATAATCAAACAGACAGACATAATATAAAAAAAATCAAATTAATGAGCCCATTTCTTTTCAAAGTTATATTACACACCTTATTATTAGTGACTCTGAACTGACGCCTGGTGTAGTAGGGACAGGACTCGCTCTCCTCGTACTCCACGGAGATGTGCTCGTACTGCACCGTGCCGTCGTCCCAGTACCGCGGACACTTGCCCTCACCCAGCTGAACAAATATTCACACAATATTAATATAATTCTAGGCCATTATGAAGAAAAAAACATAATATCAATCATACAATTTTAGTATCAATTGCTGTGTAATTTATGCAGTAGTAATAATTGTCGTATAAAAAAACGGTTACGTGTGAGTTGGAACCGTTCTACTGTTTTAACCTACTAAAATTCGATGTTCCATTATATTTGTAAATATTTGTACTGAGGTACTTAACAGTGCAAAACGCCCAGTGGTAGCCCACAGGTAATGAGCTCGCTTGAAATAATTAAGGATTTTATATATAAATTATTTTTAATACGATAACAATTGCTTTATGATGAAGTAAAACATCGTACGAAAACTTGCATGCTGAGAGAACACAACTAGTTTTTGAAAGTTGTTTAAAAATAGTTAACACGCTTTTAACCAACGAGGCGGACTGTGCAATGGATTTAAGAAAAGCCGAATTTTAAGGATTTTTTGTAACTTTTAAAAATACTAGTTATATTCGTTTATAGTACAATAAAATTATTGAATGTTAATCCTTTAAAATATCGTAAGTTCTTAATTATCAATTAATTATCATTGTACTAAAATAATCTAAAATCCATACAAATCAAAATACAAATACGATATAATCAAAATAATGTCTGTATGTATGTGTCGTTACAAATGTACTAACCTCACTCAACATAACAATAGTAGATACATTATGTTCGGACACCATCCTCCAAAAGTCCATTATCGTGCTGGGCAGAGGGTCTTGTGTGATGATGAATCCTTCCGTGTTGTCGTAAGCTGAATAAATATATTAACTTAATATATAAAGAAAATAATAGCACTGTAATTGTCTTAAAAGGGAAGATATATTATTAAATTTAAAATTATAAAGCCAGATATCTGCCGTGATCATGATTGCTATACAGCATTCGAAACGTCGGGAACCAAAAATCAAAATAAATATGCGAAAAAATCCGAAAAGATAGTTTTATTTAAAACTAGCGGCTCACCCTCGCTTCGCTGGGTTCGCCTCTAAAAAAAAGAAAACTGATGTATCCCATGGGAACTGTACATTTTCCGGGATAAAACATATAATTATGGGATCTCGTGAGTAGTTTCGTTTTAACGAGACACTAAGTTTTTAATTCTACGGATATAGTAGGAATAACGATAATGATAGCTAATAGAGGATACATGGTACATTGCTTCAATGACATGAGAAATGAGATAACATGTATAATTGTTATTAATGTATAATAATTATATTTCTATAAGTTACGTTGAATATATTATTATATTATGTACTTACGTGTTAAAATTGTTACAATATGACAAAGAATAATTCTTTTTTTTTACTGTCTTTTCCATCCATTAACTTTAATTTTATCAAACGTTGTTTTTATTCATGTGACTTGAATTGGTGACATGTGGATTATTCTTTATATATAGCCAATATAAGGCAAAACAATACAATAGAGGGCATCGATCAAAAAAGTGCTAGATACACAATCCCACGCAAAAAGTTCTCTTGCCACCAAGTGTGTTTAGGTAGTTATTCTAGTTGAAATAAATATACATACAGCATCGTAAATTTAATCTTAAATGTAATGCTTAAAGTTGTTTTCACAATAAAAACTTTTTAACAAAAAAATAAAAACCGACTTCAAACAAAAGCACTAAAAAGTAAAAAATAACTGATTGGTAGTTTTCATTTACTATACATACCTAATCAAATATATTCGAAGTCGGTGTGCTTTACTTTATATGGGCTGGCACCGATTTCGAAAATATTTGATTAGGTATGTATTTAATAGGTAGGCTTTAATTACTTAGCCAAAGCACACCGACTTCGAATATATTTGATTAGGTATGTATAGTAAATGAAAACTACCAATCAGTTATTTTTTACTTTTTAGTGCTTTTGTTTGAAGTCGGTTTTTATTTTTTTGTTAAAAAGTTTTTATTTTTCCCTTTTTAGTGTAGACAGTAGTAGCAAAGTAAGGATTCTAACGTGTTAGGCTTGTCAAATCAAACAAAATAAGCCCAAACTCAAAGTATCTACTATTAGCCGTTGAAGAATTCCACCTATCCACCTTCTGGCCTTGCCATCAGATCAGGTCAACAACACCGAATCACTGTACTATCAACGGAAATAGAAATACTTGCAAAGTTTCAAGTCAATATGACAATTAGAAGTAGGTTAAATTCATCATTAGTTGTTTTTCCACCCTTAGGGGTGGTATTTTTTTTGAAATTTAAATGGGACCAATCTGGAAGTATACCCTTTCAAACAAAACAAAAATTGTCCAAATCGGTTAATAAATGACGGAGTTCTGAGGTAACAAACATAAAAAAAAAAAAAAAAAAACATACAGTCGAATTGAGAACCTCCTCCTTTTTGAAGTCGGTTGAAAAAAGCACGCTCAAATGTTCAAATGAACGCTCATTCGATAAGGACATTTTTTGTCGCTGATTATGATGATATATTATTATCTAGCTAGTACTTTTTTGATCGATGATAGAGGGCTAAAATATCCTCCGGTTTGGACAGTATATACCTTCAACAAAGGACGCGTTGATGTATGTGGAGTAGTCGCGGCCGGGCAGCGGCGCGAGGATGACGCGGTTGCGGTCGTAGGGCAGGCAGTCGGCGCTGCGGTTGCGCGCGCGCAGCTCGTCCGCGCCGCCCGCCGCGCACGACTTGGCCGGCTCCGCTACCGGCGGCTCCATCATTTTCTATTAAGTTACATTTGTTTTATTTATTTATTCCTTTTTTAATTAAAAAATATGATGATATAAATGAATAACTCCACTAAGATTCTATCTTGAATCAATATTTTATTATATTTTCATCATGTGATGCGTGTTTACATAAGTACTACTCTATGTTTTTCTCTACATTATTGTAGAGAATATGGAGTATGTAGGTAAATGATCATGATAGTTATGATGAAGCCTTAATTTTAGTTGACTAATTTATAATTTAATCACTTTTTATAATAATTATATTTTTTTTATTATGATACTAAAACTTGTATTTTTTCAATTGTATTTGTTTATTTAACTGACTAAAAACGAACTGTGTAAACATGCAGTGTATTTATGGCTATTTGACATGAAAAAACACTAAAAATACTAAGTAGAGTACTATAAAAAAATATAACATGAAAAAAAGTCTAACAAACAACCACATATAAAACCATTTATACACACATATCTAATACTGTACACTAACCTCGAACTCATGTTCCATGAGACACTTGTCGGCGCCCTCGGGCGTGTTGCGCAGGCGGTCGATGCAGCTCTTCAGCCTGGACGCCGGGATCTCGGTGTCGCCGTAGTGCGCGTACTCCACCAGCGCGCGGTATACGAAAACGTATTGTTTCTGCGTTTCGGTAAATATATATAATATTAATATTTAACGTTAAAGCGCACTAGCTAGCTAGTATTTCATTTATCTTAACTTTTTTTTTATTTATATACATAATTATATTATTTCAACAAATAAATGAATGTTTGTTGCATTATTTTCCTTCCTTTGTTACATTTTGTAACGAAGTACAACAAAGAGAAATTATAACTTCATAATTTTTTTCAGTATAATGTAATAAGTAAAATAAAAATAAGATTTTACTATACTGATTGACTATTTTGAATATACCTATTTCATATATAAATATAAAATCAAAATAAAACCACAAAAAAAATATCGAAATTACCTCAAAATGATACTAATCAAAGGTATTTCAAAAATTTCAAGCGTAAGTCCAAGTAGGAAATTAAGTGATGATTATAAAAAAAACTAGCGACTCACCCTCGTTTCGCTCTGGTTCGTCCCTAGGTACGTTTTAACGATTAGTATGAAATACAAATATTTGAATTTCTTGGCTTTATTTTACTATAATATGCATGTATTATACATATAAACCTTCCTCTTGAATCACTCTATCTATTAAAAAAACCGCATCAAAATGCGTTGCGTAGTTTTAAAGACTTTGTTTTATACTATGTAGTGATTATCTGATGTTCCCCAAACTCACCAGAGACTGTACGAGGAAGTTCCTCTGCCTGCGCAGCTCGGCCACGGTGTTGAATACGGCCGCGTGTCCCGTCGCGCGCAGCTGCTCCAGCAGGCAGTCCAGCGCCACCAGCGTGCCGGTGCGGCCCACGCCCGCCGAGCAGTGCACCACCACCGGCCGCCCCACCATGCTAGACCACGCCTCGTTCACTCTCTGTTGTACGAATTAATATAGGATAATCGTTTTTTAACATTTTCATTTCTAACATGATTACCACTTGCCTTACGGTGAAGGAAAACTTCGTGAGGAAACCCGCATGTCTGTGAGAAGAAACTTAGCAAGTTTTCGAAAGATATGTGAAGTCCGCCAACCCGCACTTGGCCAGCGTGGTGGACTATTGCCTGATCCCCCTATTGAAGGCAGACCCGTGCAAAGCAGCGGGACGTTAAAAAGTGCGGAACCGAACTCGAATACAAAGGGCTTCGTACTATCGTGCAAGATATAACACTCTGTACTAATTGTTTCTTTTTTATGGCATGGCGATTATTTTGAAATATATATTGTTTTTTTTTGTTATTTGTTGTTATAGCGGTTATAAGATCCCTTTGAATAACTGGTAGCCTATGTCTGTATATATGACGTAATTTATCATATTGTCAAATTTAATCGAAATCTATTCAGCGGTTTAAGCGTTAAAAGGTAACGAATAGATATACAGAAATTTAAAATATTGGCAGAGATTATTAGAAATTAGATTAAAAAATACAAAGTTCTTTCACTCAAAGTCAAAATAATGTAAAAAATAAAAAAATAAATAAAAATTTTATTTTTTTACGCGCCTACATACATACATGCATTCTATTGCTTACTTCTATATTGGTTAGTCCATTAGCTAGCTATGTCCTAGTAGATACTAAATAAAGAAGTAACCTTTATAAACTTAAGTATGGAGTGTGGATGTTCGGGCGCCGCAAAGTCCTTCCACATGAGGAAGTGGTACTGACGCACCAGCCGCGTGTCGCCCTTCACCTCGCGCGGCGACGTCGGCGCGCTGGAGTCGCTCATACCACAATCTATTGGAGAATATATATCATAAATACATTTCTGTGGTAAAATACTAGTTTATATTCATCTAATATATTTAAACGAGCAATTCTTGTGTATATATTTATTTATTTATACCGGCGACCTCGGAAACGGCTCTGACGATTTCGCTGAAATTTGGTATGTGAGAGTTTTCGGTTGAACAATAATCACTACATAGTATAAAAGAAAGTCATTTTCTGCTGTCTGTCTGTCCCTATTTATGCTTAGATCTTTAAAACTACACAACGGATTTTGATGCGGTATTTTTAATAGATAGAGTGATTCAAGAGGAAGGTTTATATGTATAATACATGTATATTATTGTACAGAATAACCAAGAAATTACATGATTTCTATTTCATACTTACCGTTAAAACGTACCTAGGGACGAACCTCAGCGAAGCGAGAGTGAGTCGCTAGTAAGTAATAAATCAATGTTTTATGAATTTTGAGTTAATAATAACTCACCTCCATTCCTCTTGGCAATTCCATTATTTTCAACTATAGGTTGTCCATCTGCATTAACCGGCTGCTTAGAGATTTTCAGTTCCCTTACTATATAGTCCGAATATCTGCACAAAAACAGTTACTACTTTGGTTATTACGACTAAAAGAAAATCGGTATATTATCATTTATTGCAAAAAATTGTATGTGTGTGTTTGTTGTTTCTTCATGCTAAAATGGCTCGATGAAATATAGTATACATTTACACTATGAAACTTGAACCTGGAGTAACACATAGGCTACCATTTGGCAAATATGGTCGCACCTGAGCTAAGCAGGGGCCGTTTTATATATAGGCTTTATGGGCTGCAGTCCAGGGCCACTAAGATATAACGGATCCCCTGTTGTAAACAATAGATAATATAATTGTGAATTTATAAAATAAAAAATAATATTTAAAATATATAAAATAAAGCCATAAAAGGTTGATAACCCTTGAGATCTATTAAGATCCAAACAATAGCGTTATCTTAATTTCGTCTAGTGCTACATACCAATATATATAGATTTTATAAAGATAATTAGTTTAGGGCGCCACAAGGTGTTAGCCAAGGGCCCCACAAAGTGTTAGCCCAGGGCCCCACAAGGTGGTAGGTTAGGCCCCTAAATTCACGGTCCACCCCTGAGTTAAGTCAAGTTACTAGTATGGAACAAAGAAATATAATTTAAACCAATTAAGAAGCAAAGCCACTAACCGTTTCTCAGTAACATGGTGCACAGTGATATTTCCAAACGCGCGCGAACCCCTCAGGTCGTCGGGCCAGTACTTGCTGCACTTGACCTTGCTGTACTCCTCGAGGTTGGTGAGCATCACGATCAGCTCCAGGCCATGCTCCCATATCATGCGCCAGAAGTCGTTCACCGTTGTGTCTGTTGGTCCTTGCGCGCATATAAATAGTTTGCGCTCCTAAAATAGAATAAATGTCTAATTATTTTTTTATACTAAGAAGTATTTTTACATATCTCTATAAATGAAATGCTTTCAAATGTATTTAAAATCCTTCAATCTGTCGGAGCAGTTAGTATTCTTATAATAATTAATCATTATTAGTATATGGTAAAATATATTTTCATTTCATTACATTAGTAAAATAAATTTTTGTAAGGACTTTTATATAAATAAGAATAAAGGATGTGAAATTTGTGTGAAACTTGAGAAAATTTAAGGAATAAAAGTGAAATATTAATAACAATAATACATATTAAATTAGTATAAGCTTAAATTTGTATACTAAACAGAAATGTGAAAGCTGCATGCGATACCTGGTTAATCTCCGAAGGGTCCTTAGTAAGCGATAGGACAGACAAACACGGTTAGAGAGAAATAGGGTAGTTGCAGAAAGAAAAAATACTTTAAAAAATACGAAAATTGGCATTAATGTCAATATAAAATAACCCTAAATATTATATACCTATAAACTGCACTTTTAAACTTGTATTATAATAATTAATTTAAAAAAATACTTAGATAAATATGGGAACGGATCAACATAATCATATATATGGCAACGTGATATGACATTGATCCAAACGCAATACAAAACATGCAAAATTATTTTGAAAAACATTTTTTCAAACTATTTTATCAAAATTTAACTTTATTTCAAAATGTAATTTACCTTATTACTTTATGTTATTTTTCATTCAAATTCCGCGATTTTCCTAATAATAATATAGTATATTAATTCCAGAGAGGCGAATGTCACAAAAATCAACCACTCCTAGACTATAAAGTCACGTACTATCACATAAACTGAACATAAAATGAAAACCTACCTTTATTCATCATAAAGAGCGTTGGATTAATTACCTCTAGTAATTGCGTTTTGCTAGAACAGCAGCAGTAGCAGATTTGCTTGACCCAGGTCTAATCATACACTTTGATGTACTTACCGTTAGCTCTTAGACTATAAAGGTACTTGTATACACTCTTACACCCTAAAAGCTAAAACATATTTTCCTCCTCCTATCTCACGACATAATAAACTTTGGTATAGTCAAAGCTGCCAGTCAGTAACATCGTCTTGCTGAAATTGTCCGGTGTGATCATACACTTAGATGTCCAGGGAGCTAACCACCAACTCTTACACTATAAACCCTCACACCATATATCAAAAATACTAAAGCGTACCTTGTATCCCATGACATAATTAGCGTTGATATAATCAGATCCGGTGATCCCATCCTGCTGGGATAGTTTGACCCTGGTCTGATCGTACGCCTTGATATCCGGATACCGGTTCTTGGGCTGGTTCTCGCGCGCCTCAGACGCGTGCGTGGTGCGGTCGGGGAAGCACTCGGGCAGCATCTGCAACAACTTCACGTTGTGCTGCTTGGTTAAATACACTATTACTAAAACAATACAATAAAAAAACTAAGAATAAGAAAAAAAGTAACAGTATATAAAATAAAATTGGCAGCGGTAGCCCAGTGATAATGCGTTAACTTGGGAAACCGAGTGAAGCGGGTTCAAATCCCAAAAAAAGAAAGTGAAGCGAAGGAAAATATCGTGACGAAACTTGCATGTCTGAGAGAACCTAGCAAGTTTTCGAAAAGCATGTGGAGCGTGCCCCGCGCTTGGCCAGCGTGGTGTAGTATGGCCTAATCCTCCTCCTCGTTTTGAAGGGAAGCCTGTGCTCAGCAGTGGGACATTAAAAAAGGCTGAATAAAATGATGAGAGCAATGAATATTTTTTTAACTAAAAATAAAGACCAACTAAAAGTAATTCAGCCACCTAGCAGATAGATTTTATCTTGAAATTTATCTAAATTTAAAGAAAGTGGAACTATTGTCTAATAAATTATTACTTGTCATGCATATGTTTAAAATCATTAATTACTAAGCAGAATAATTTAAATGGAAAAAGTTTCACTTAAATAAGATAAATATGAATATCGAAAGAATACAACAAAGTAGAGCAATCAAGTTATATCTTAACTTCACATGGTACATATGAAATAATGTACCATATGGCACAGTTTAGATGACTTTTTCGTATCTTTTTAGTAATAAATTATAAACTCTGTACATACAAAATGCAGCTAAAACATAAACGACAATATATTATATTTATACCGTATGTCTGTGTTTCGAAAACGAAAACGTATTGTAAAGTTGTTTACATTACTTATTTGTATCAACAACGAATCAATCAACATTGTTACATCCTATAAAAGACTATACTTAAATTAAATAATATAATAGTAAAAAAAAGGCAATTAGTAGGTAATCAAAACAAAAAACTTTAAGCCCTGGATAGAAATTAAAACTGAAGCTAATGTATATAATTTAAAAACATTATATTATATACAACCAAAAGTTATAACTATGTTAATAGTGTGATATTACCTTATATTCTTCTGAAATTAAAAGCTAGCAACATTGAGATTGTGTTAATCCATCCAATTAATACAATAAAAGTTTAATTATCAAAACAACTTTTTTTTATTATTAATATTTGTTAAATTATTTTTTTTAATAATTTCATTTTTGTAAAATTTTGGGTAGACACTGGTTTGTAACAAGTATATAACGCCTTTGAGACGTCTAAAACCTTAGTCTCTACCGTGATCATGATTGCTGTAAAGCATTCGAAACGTCGGGAACTAAAAATCAAAATAAATCCACGAAATAATCCGAATAGATAGAATTATTTAAAAATAGAGAATGTATTTGTGTTTGCGCATATATGCGGTACATTATAATATCTCCTGCGCAGATGGCTAATCACATTGCGATTGGCCGCCGTTGCCGAAATCCGTTAGGACCTTATTATTAGACATAGAGACAGTAGTAGCCCAGTGGAAACGCACTCACTTGGGTAACAGAGTGAAGCGGGTGCAATCCTGAATCTCGCATATTTTCATGTGCGAATCATTTTCCAACATGATCACCACATGTCTTACGGTGAAGGAAAACATCGTTAGGAAACCTGCATGTCTTAACTTAAGAGAGAAGTCCGCCAAGCTTTACTTGGCCAGTGTGATGGACTATGGCTGGGTCTCCCTTGTATTAAAGGGAGGCCCAATAGTGGGACTTTAAAAAGGGCTGAATATACATAATTATATTTACCTCAAACTCCTTCTGAAAGCCGTAGTCGGAGTCAGCTTGCCGTTCTGCGTACGCAGCTGCGAGGTCCTCCTTGGCGATGGGCGGCATGTCGGGCGGCGTCGCGCTCACCAGCTGCTGTCTGCCGCCGAACTGGTCTACGAAGCATCTATGCGGAGTTTGATACTCATTAGTTCTATCCATACTTAATATTATGAATGTGAAAGTGTGTTTGTTTGTTTGTTTGTTGTATGTCTTTCTTTCACGTCGAAATGGACTGACGGATTGGTCTGATTTTTGGTGTGAATATAGTTGGAGAGTGACATAAGCTGCTTTTTACCGCGAGACATTATCTAATTCCCACGGGAAAACACGTTATAATACAATCCAAAAAAAATATTTATGATCAGAATTACTTGAAACTTGGTATTAATGCTCTTCAATAAAATTAAATAAATACGTGTTTTAGCATTTTTTGAAATTCATCTTATAAGGGGGTAAAATAGGGGACAAAAGTTTGTATGAAACTACCTTTTTAGAGAATCTTTTGTAGTTTAGCGCGAGCGAAGCCGCGGGTTCTGCTAGTATTCAATAAATAATATAACATATTGTTACGTTCTATGAGTTCGAATTTTATATATAGTATAGATATGGCACAATAAAAACCTAGCAGAAGTACTAACCTAAAAACAGCTTGCAGTGGATTCCTGTCCAGGTGGTGGTGATGGTGCTTGCGCGAGCGCCGCGTCTGCCGCACGCACACGAATATGGCGGCCACTAGCACGAGCGCTGCTACCCCACATGTTGCCTGTATATATAAAAAAATATATTTCTATAAAAATAATATATTTATTAGAATCGAAAAGGAAATTATATTTAAAAAAAAACAGTCGACTGCGAGTCGGACTCGCAAATGAAAGGTTTCGTAACCATAATCGTATTTTTTTTAAATTGCATGGCAGTCTTTTTGAAATTCGCCATCTTGGTGTTTTATTATTTGCTGGTATAGCGACAATAGAAATATGCACTATGTGAAAATTTCAACTCTCTACCTATTACGGTTCACGAGATACAGTTATATGACGGACGGACGGACAGCGCAGGCTTAGTAATAGGGTTCTGTTGGCACCCTTCGGGTACAGAACTCGAAAAAGATACATTGACCTCAAAATTTCTAAAAAGTGAAAAATCAGACACAAAAATATATATTGATTTTCCCATACAAACTTTCATCCCCATTTTCACCCCCTTAAGGGATGATCTCCGGGATAAAAGTATCCTATGTCCTTCCCAGGGTCTCAAACTATCTTCTTACCAAATTTCATCTAAATCGGTTCAGTAATCCAGAGATTACCCCCTACAACCTCATAAACTTTATCTCTTTATAATATTAACAGACAAACTGTAATTTCTTTAAACAAAAAAAAGTGAAGAAAAGCAGTAATAATATAAAACAATAATATCCTGACCAATAAAACAATTTCTAGAATTTGAGTGGGCGGAGTGGGCACGGGCGAAGCGGCCGCCATTAGCACGTTCGAGTATACACTGTAGAGCGGCTCGTCGTCTTCTGAACCCGCTGTTAGAAAGATAATGAAATTATTATTTTTTTATTAAAAAAATGCATAAATTAAGTTAAACTAAAATAACGTTACTAGTACAATTATGAATGCATTTGGCAATTGAAATATAACAATAAGAAACAATAATTATTATTGAAAAAGTATATTCCATTATGACTTGTCTATATTCTACATAAATAAAAATGAAATAATGCATTTAGTAAGCGCATCACAGACCACTCGAAAACGGCTGAACCGATTTGGCCGTTTCTTAAATCATGATAAAAGTTTAAGTAAGGTTTTTAGGGTATAAGATAAAATGTCTCAGAAAATTGAAAATTAGAAAAAAATCTAGTGCTGCTTTTTTATAAAATTTTAGTTCCTTAGAGATCACAAAAATATATTTATTGTATTGCCGGGTCGGCGAGCTTATAGATATAAACTTACGTATCAACTCCATAAATGCAGTGTAATTGGCAGAAGGATCCAAGAGTCCATCTTTCACTTGCAAGTCTTCCTTCACCTCTATCTCCTCTTGTTTATTCATCAACATGGGATTATTCATCATCATCGGATTGTTCATGTAATCCCTATAAATATACACATTATTTTTAAATTCAATTTCATCTAATATATAAAAATCTCGTGTCACGGTGTTTGTGGTCGCACTCCTCTGAAAACGGCTCGACGATTTTAAAGATTTTTTTTTGTATATTTGGTACATATGAGAATCGAAGTTAGAGTGAGTCACTGTATAACATAAAGCCAAGGCATTTTTTTTTGTAGATTAAACGCGGGTTCTGCTAGTAATGTTATAAACGTGATAAGATTGTTAAGATGTTTAGATGTTTGTTACTTCTTGCCTTCTGCCTCAACAAATAAATTATATTTTTCTTAATATATTTTTTATACTGGAAAACGCTTAACATAAAGACGCATAAAAAAGTTAGAACGCTTAATAAATCTAGTCTTTTTTTGGTTGTACAAAACGAATGCAACAAGTCGGGCTTGTTACTAGAAAATCAAATTATATGTGATTTAAGCGTACCTGTCATCCAAATATGATCTCTTCTCTCTAATCTCTTCCTCTGGTTCCAAAGTCGTGAATGTGTCATCCAAAAGCAAAAAGTCGTCCTTGGTGGTAGGACTGGATATGGTGGTCGGAGGGGAGGTTGTTGTGGTGGTTTGGTGCTTTGGTGGTGGTATGTCATAGGCTCGTCTGGGCTTCTTGAGACATCGCTTACAATTGTCACTGTTTAGAGTCGGATCGTCTGTGTTGAACAAGGATTTGCCATCACCAATTATGAGCTCCGATTCTGGGAAGTTATCACTGAAAAATAAAATTGACACATTTAGGACATTTTCACTTTATCAAGTGTCTATGTATTTATTAATAATTAAAGTCAGATACGAATTCTGGGCAAAGTTTACTGTTTATCTTGTATATATCAAAATATTTTTAAGTGATTACTGAAACATAAAGGAGAAACAAATATACTGATTTATTGATAAATTATTAACTCAATGTTATACTTTCTTAGATTTACGCGAATATTTGACATTTTAAATAAAACTACCACGACCGTGGATGCTGTAAAGCATTCGAAACGTCGGGAACCAAAAATCCAAATAAATCCGCTAAAAAAATCCGTAAAGATAGTTTTATTTAATGGTTGAGTAAGGTTTTCTTTCGCTTTTTTGAACAAGATTTACAGCATTAATATTCTTAAATTAACAATTCGAAAGTACTTATATAAACCTAGTTTTTTTTTATTGATTAACCAAAGAAAAACAATAAAAATTTAATAAAACCATTCAAAAGTAATAATAATTAATTAAAAATATAAACTTACTTAGAAAAAACATCAGTAATATAAGCTCCTAAGACAGGCTGGACCCCATGTGCCTCTTCATAGTCAACAATACTTATATCTTTGGGCTGCGGTAGGTTATTCCAAACAGAATGTGGCAATAGCCGCACCATATAAATCCTGAAAATAGTTTTAAATTAGGTAAAATAATTAATCTTTTGTTTTTTTTTACAATATTTCATTCAAAAATAATTATATTTACCTGTAACAACATATTGGCCCATTTCTTTCAGACACCCGAGGTATTTTTATAGCGAAGACGTATTTATCTTCTTCTCGAACCTAGAATGATTTTATTTTTAGTACTACTAAATTAAGGTCACTTAATCTATATATAAATAGGCAAAGACAAAACATTTCAGTATCTTTTTCTCCTCTTTTTGTCAATCAAATTATTTCAAAGGCTATATAATAATTAAAATTAGACATTTTATTACGGAAAAACATAAATAGGCGACAATGTACTATTAATTTAATATCATTATTTCCTATGGAGGTTACGTCACGTTTTCTCTTCAAGTATTTAATACTCAATTCTCAAAGTGACAGGTAAAGGTAGGTACCTAGATTTCATACAAAATTTCATCCCCTATTTTACCCTCTTATATGATGAATTTTGAAAAATGCTAAAACACGTATTTATTTATTTATATTAAAGAGCATTAATACCAAGTTTCAAGTAATTCAGATCAGAAATATATTATTGGTTTGTATTACAACGTGTTTTCCCGTGGGAATAAGATGATCTCCCACGATAAAAAGTCGCCTATGTCACTCTCCACCTCTCCAACTATTTTCACACCAAAAATCACGCCAATCCGTCATTCCGTTTCGACGTGAAAGAAAGACAAACAAACAAACACACTTTCACATTTATAATAATAGTATGGATTTGATAAAAAAAATTACAAAACGTACATAAATATATATAACGCATAATAACGTTCTAATCAAAGTACAGATAAAATAAATAAAACGGCAACATCCCACTAATGTTTGCACGAGAACGAACCTAATTTTTCGCTTGAATGATTTACTTGCCGACAACATTTCAGCATTTTTTAATCGAGGAGGCATTGACCTATTTTTTTTTTAACGTTGGGAAATGCATTTACGCACAAGGTGTGGGACTCACCGGCGTAATAAAGCCAGTACTACTTACTAAAACCCAACAAAACCTTCCCCCGTCTTAATGGGGCGTCGCAGGATCGCTTACGCATTCAACTACGACGCCCCGACGGCAGGTCTGCCGAAGCAGACCACCACAACCATGGGGTTGATCCAAGGTCCACTCTGCTATCAGAGAAGTACCAGGAGCAACCCACATGGTACACTGCCCCCCGAAGAGGGTCACCTCCCTGTGCGTTTCTTGGTTTCGCGCCCGGCTGTATTGCCGGGCACTACTGAGCCTCCCCATCACGACAAGGTGAACGCACTTTGGGGGGCGGAGGCATTGATTTACTTTAATGTGCAAAACATGTGCTCCCGAGTTGTCTCCGATACTGACACGCCTGTACCGCCTTTCTCTTAAGACTGGAATAGTGCCTAAATCCTGGAAGCTTGCCAATGTGCAACCAGTGCCCAAGAAAGGAAGCCGTGCTGACCCTGCCAATTATCGTCCGATCTCAATCACCTCCATACTCTGCAAGATTATGGAGCGTGTATTGAACACTCGTCTTATGGCATACCTAGAACAGAACGATCTCCTCAGTGATCGACAATATGGATTTCGCCGGAATCGGTCGACTGGGGACCTTCTAGTGTATGCCAATCACACCTTTGGCGAAACTATTGACCGAAGCGGGGAGGCGATTGCCGTCTCCCTCGATGTCTCAAAGGCTTTTGACAGGGTCTGGCACGCTAGCCTTATAAATAAGCTTTCAGCCTATGGCATATCTCCTGGCCTGATCGGCTGGATTAAAGACTTCCTGAGCGACCGATCACTCAGAGTTGTGGTTGATGGTTGTTCATCACAACCCTTAAAGACCAACTCAGGAGTTCCTCAGGGGTCTGTTCTCTCTGCAACCTTGTTTCTGCTGCATATCAACGATCTGCTTATACCCGGTATCTATGGGTACGCAGACGACAGCACTATTGTAGAGAGATACCTGCCGAATCCTCGGGCCAGTAGAGATCAAATTCAGTCCGAAAGAGAGGCCATGGTAGAGCGGTTGAATCTCACACTCAGGGCAGTCTCTACTTGGGGCGATGCCAATCTTGTGAGTTTCAATGCCACCAAAACACAGGCGTGCCTGTTCACCACTAAAAGGAGTCCTTTCACCTTGACTCCTACTTTCCGGAATGTGCCTTTGGAATACACAGAACGTCTGCAGTTGTTGGGGATGGACATCAGCCCCAACATGAACTACGGGCGGTTCATCGAGTCTAAGGCTAATGTAGCTGCGAGGAAAGTTGGCATCCTTGCAAAGGTCCGACAGTATTTCACGCCGGGACAGCTTCTTGTTTTATATAAAGCGCAAGTCCGGTCGTGTGTGGAATACTGTAGCCACATATGGGCTGGTGCTGCGAAATGCCATCTGTTAGCCTTGGACTCGATTGAGAGGCGTGCTCAAAGGCTTATAGGTGACCCTGCGCTGGTAAAAGCTAACTTACAAAGCCTCGATCACCGACGTAGGGTTGCCAGCCTTTGTGTATTCTATAGGTTACATTTCGGAGAGTGTGCGCAGGAACTACATGAATTAATTCCCCCATCCCCTTTCCATCATCGGACAACTCGACGAACGGCTGGTCTCCATCCTTATGTTGTGGACATTCCACCCGTCCGCACGAAGCGTTTCGCTACGTCATTTATTATACGTACGGCTAAGGATTGGAACAACCTGCCTGCGTCGGTGTTTCCGTCCGATTATAATATGGGTGTCTTCAAGGCAAGAGTGAATAGGTGGCTACTGAATTAGTGCGACTTACTATCTACGACTGCGTTACCACTTACCATCAGGTGGAACGTAGTCAAGCACTAATTCGGAATAGTATAAAAAAAAAAAAAAATGTGATAGACATACGTACATAATGCGAAATATCGCGGCTAAAATATAATATCAATACATTTTTTTATATTTGAATAAAATAACGTTATATCTTTTGTAAAGTAATTCTATATTTATTATAGCATTATAAAAAAATGTATGCCAAATACTTTGTTGTTATTTAAAGCTTAATATTCTGATTTAATGAGTAGACTTCGTAATATACATTTAGTATGGACTCCATTAAAACTATGTAAGGTTAGTGTAGAAGAAATGCCGCCACTGAAGATGGAATAATTAATTCTAAAATAATTGTAATAAATAACGTGTACATAGTGTTTCTAAAATTTCAACCTACAGTATAAAATAATTAATTTGAGATGACGAATTTAATTTATAACTCAGACATTACCCAGAACATGTATTTAATATATTTAAAAATAAAATAAGTAAATTTATAACTCAGTGTCAAGATAGAAATTTTTGTTATTTATTGATTTTTCTTTTAATTATTTAAATTATTTTATTCGAATACTCAATTTAGTTAACATCTCGTTTATTCTTATTGTATGTATTATTTGAATTTATTTAATTTATTTTTATTGTAGGACATTGATTGATGATTGATTATCATTATTTTCGTTTTATGATATTTATTGCATAATTAGAATGTAATCAAATAAGTTTATTAATACTCTATTTCATTTTACTATTGTATATGCGGTGACTGTCTATAATTAGAAAATCAATTAATCAATATACTAATAACATATTTAGACGACACGTTTGGCTCACTTTTTAATGACCCTACTTGCTGTGTCAGCGATCGCGGGTTCAAGCCCCGCTGGGAGCATTAATTTGTGTGATGAACATGAATGTTTGTACCCCGGTCATGCGTGTTTATATTTATAATATGTATGTATATTTTGAATCGACGATTCTCCTAACATATATAACTACCCACTTTCTCCATTTCCAACAATGTTCGAAGTAGCATACAAAAATCCATCAATTTTTCAATGTGAAACTAATAACGTAATTACGTGCGTCTCGCTCCGCAAAATTGTCCTGGTTAGATTTCTTAATTAGACGATATCCATACAGGATTAGACTATGACAATACTGACGATAAAGACTCTAGATTTTAGGTAATATTGTGTAGTAATTTAGTAATTTGTGTATATTGGACAGTGTCTATCTACTCTTAGTACTATCGATATTGATTGATATACAATAACCCATAAATCAAAATAAATAAATAAAACAATTTTTCAGTATAATATTAGGTATAGTTATACCTTCTGCAATGGCAGGCGCGAGAGCGGGTCGGGCGGCGCGGGCGCGGTGGCGCAGTGGCGCACCTCCTCGTCGCCGCGGCGCCGCGACCGCGTCATAGCGCGCAGCCGCACCGTGTAGTTCATGTTCGGCTGCAGGTCCTCGAATCTGTGGATTGACCTTACTTAGTATCGATTTCAATTATATATAGGTGATTCATATATACGTATTAATATTATAAATGTGAAAGTTTGTGAGTATGTATGGATGTTTGTTACTCTTTCACGCCAGAACGGCTGAACGAATATGGATGAAACTTGGCACAGATAAATTTTAGTCGGGAATAACATATAGGCTACTTTTTATCCCGTAAAAATAAAGGTTCCTGAAGGAAATATTTGTTTTTGCTTTTCTAGAGGCAAACCCGAGCGAAGCGAGCGTGAGCCGCTAGTATATAATATATTTACAATTATAATCAATTCCAAAAATAAGCTCACAACAACATACTCTCTCTATGTTCCTATTTAAAAATGTATAAAACCTACTGGAATAACTATATTTGCCTATTTAAAAATGTAAAAAAAACAGAAGTAACTATACCATTTTGGTTTTTCAAGTTTTTTTTAGATCTTTCTAATTTATTTTTATCATTTCGAACGCTATACAGAAATATTGGTCACAACATTCGAATCTTCAAGAGAAAAAAATCTGCATATATCCACAAATACGAAAAGATATATTTGTTTAAAATGTCAAATATTGTTCTATTTAGATTTAAAAAATAATTAAAATTGAAGCCAAAGGATATTATGTTAATATTTATGGCATTCATTCTGTTTTATTATTTAATTGAATTCGACTCAAATCATAAGTAAAAGATACTAAACACAATATTTATGATGACATATATGTATATTGTATATCTCGAAATAACCTAAATGTACATATATATCTTGTTTTCCCCTTAAATTTATTAGGTTTTACGTCTGTGGTAAATATTAATTGTGCTTAATCATTATATACCATACCTTTATTATTACTTTTTCTAATCTTCTTCTGCATTCTCAAATAAACTACAGGAGCAATATATCAGAGATTTTCTATTATTGCTAATGAATTACAACTACCATTTATTTATTTTATTATCAAATGCCTAACATATAACAGTACAGTTTGCAACAGAAACTTACCTCACACTCCTAGAATCATTAGTTTTAAACTTAGTGAGTGGTCCTCGGATATCCTCTTTCAGAGTGCCATGCTGATCTCTATAAGTAGAGTTTCCTGTTAGCTCCATCTACGAATATATGTATATAATATAAAAAAGGGACAACAATATTAACTTAACTAAACTAAAACTTAAAAATTAACTAATAACGGAACTACGTGTATCTCACTGCGCACGATTATCCTGGTTAGATTTCTTTATTAGACGATTGTATGGATTAGACTGTGACAATACTGACGATACTAGATATGAACTCTAGATTTTAGACATTGTGTAGTAATTTAGTAATTTGTGTATATTGGACAGTGTCCATCTACTATCGATGGTATCGATATTAATGGATATACAATAATCTATCACGTATAACACCCCCATTCTTCTATCGGCACCCATAGCACAGTATAGCTCTCTCACTGCCAAAAATTATAAAGACATAATCATTTTAAATAAAACTATATTTTCGTTTTTTTTCGTGGATGTATTTTGATTTTTGGTTTCCGACGTTTCGAATGCTTTATACATCATGAACACGGAAAACACGCCGCGCGAAAAAATCTAAAGAGATAGTTTTATTTAAAATGTCAAATATTCGCGTAAATCTAACAAAGTATGAATAAATAAATCATTAAATACTCACAGTGTACCCCTTTATCTCGGCATTAGGCTTGATAGGTGGTTGCCAAGTCATATTTATCCAGCTGCTAGCGCAATGTATGGTCACATTACTGGGCCTCCCCGGCGTGCCGTCTGATGTCGCTGCTTCCATTTCAGACGACCAGTTCCCGCATTGCTTTGTAAAATCTGAGCATGCGCATACCTGAAAATATATTTATTACTTTATATGTATAATTATAAATAACTAGCGATTTACCCTAGTCAACTAATTTAGGGGTGAGGGAGTAAAAACATAACATACAAACACACATCTATGGTAGTACATGTTATAAAAAAAATATTGTTTAAAAAGGTATTATTTTTATGATAGTCTATAATTATATAGTAGGGATGGGCCGAACGAACATTTGGCTACAAAAAAACTACTTGCACTATTTTTACTTAAATTAATAGAAAACATGTCTTACATAACAATAAAATAAAATTAATTTAACATATTATCATTTATTTTAGTTAGGAACATGTAAACCTTAACTCAGATGCGATAAATGAAATAAATTCAATTAGTTCTTCTCAATTAAACAGTTTTAAAAATCTTTGCCTAATTAAATAGCCAAAATGAAATAGACTTAGTATCTTTTTCTAACAAACATAATAATTACAATTGGTAAATTGACTAAAAAAATTACGTTTTTGGTTCAGAAACTAAACACTCACAAAACAACAACAAGTATTTTTAATTATTAAAGGTGTTTTGAACAATTAAATTTAACAATCTCTTCTTATCTATCTACTCATATTTAAAATTTACTAGAAGCAGGTTATGGTGTAAAAACACCAAAGACTCCGCCTTATCTGGCAAAAGCCTGTTAATTGTTGAAATTGAACTGAATGTTCGGCCGAAGTTCGTATTCGGTTCAAGCCACATTCGGCCCATCTCTGCTATAAAGTAATACTTTGAAAATTCTCAAAAACGAAAAAAAAAATATAATTTGAAATATTATTTTTTCTCACAAATACCTATAATGAACAACAGAAAATTTATAACCCATAAGATAAAAAATTTAATTATAATATTGTATATATTAAAATAATCTGAATTTACGCATTATAATTTTATAAGCGGTAATATTGTTAAATACCCTTATGTAGTTACTTTAGAATGATTAATTGTTTGGACCTTTTACCTTAATTGTAATATTGTAGTTATTTTTGGTCATAATTTACGTAACCTCCAAATTTCCATGAATAATTCAATATATGCACATTAAATAAATTTTATTTGAGGTATGCTAAATATTATAAGTCAACAATACAATATAATTGAAATACTCAAATACATAGACAATATAATCAAATAATGTAAATAATTCACCAAATAAAAAAATCTAACATACCCTAAACAAATAAGTACTATGGGGTTCCAAATTATCAAACATGTATGGAAGATTTCTATTATCCTTCGAATGATATGCCCTTCTTGGTGCCACTTCATCTTTCTTCCTCGCTTCTAGAAGATAGTAATGTATCAATTCCGCTATCTTCTCTGGTGGAGGAGCCCACCCTATGGTAACTGAGGTTGCTGAAAATCCATTAATCGATATATTCGGCACAAATATGGGGTCATTGTCCAATGTCCTAACCGTTGACTCATATATGTGAGGTTTGCTTGGTCCATATAAAGTAGCTACTTCTAATTTAAGTTGATAATTGGTCGACTTTTCCAATCCTTCCATTACGAAAGATATATTTTTAGTTCCGATTTTCTCTCTTGTGTAGAGACTGAAGTCGTTTGAGGGCAGCCTGCGGTACATTAAGCTGTAGGTCCTTATAGGGGAGTTGTATGAACGAATTGTCCAGTTTAAGAACAACTGAGATGCACTTATTGGGATCACTGTATCTATTACGACTTGGGGTGAAGCGAATACTATGACGTTTATATCGCCGGTTATGTTCTTCGAGGAGACCGGATCCCAAATCTCGCATATATAAGTGCCATTGTCTTCAGGACTCCGAATGGGCAAGTTGAAGTCACTTTGTACGAGTTTGAGATCGATTCGCTTTGGTGATTTTACTGCTAAATCGATAATTTCGTCATCCTTGCCTTTTTTCCACCATCTTACTTCACTCGGCTTGTATACTGTAATAAAAAATATATTAGTTTTGATGCTAAAAAATCTAATTGAGAACCAAAATAAGTCAGCTAAACCAACAAAATATATTATTAAATACGTTGAAGCTAAGCCTAAGCTCGCCGGTTCGATTTCCGCAAGAACAATTTTTTATTTAATCATTTATTTCAGGCAATATTTACAAAAGGATCTTAAACATGTAAACAGAGGCCCATAGCATATATAGCTTAAAACTAACATATATATTAATTATAAAACTTAAAAACTATTTAACAGGTAGTGCATTTATAAATTTATTAAATTATTTATATAATTTTATTAAATTCAACAGTAGAGCAGAAAACGTTGCTTTTTCACGTTATATTCAGATCCCGGCTGTCGCGACATGTGAATATGTAAGAACCAACGACATGTAAGATACACGAATAGATCCCTATTTAAAAAAAATATTATTCCTACAATAGCGTAAGATTGCTTAAAATAAAACTTTTAAATTAAGCAATATTGGTTCGATAACAAAAAAACAACATCAAAGAACTAAGAATAAAAAAAGGAAATGGCTCTTAATGTGTTTGCAGAAATGTGATTATTGCTGATTTTTTTTTAATTATTCTTAGGGATTTTAAGGAAACTTATTTAAATTGTAAACAGTGGTTGACTGTGTAGAAACCGCGTAAAACCGGGCGTTCGTAACCGTCCCTGAACAAACAGTTATTAACAAACACGAACATTTCAAAAATATTGCCATAAGACATATATTTTTTTGAATTGTACAAGGTACCACTTGGTCCCATTACAATGTTTGTTATATCTATACAAATAATAAAATTCTATATGAGATTCGAATGCACATTTAATAATTTTTTTTTGGAAAATTTTATTGAAATAGTCATCATTATTGATACAGATGGCGAATCTATATATATAGAATCTATCTATATAGTGTTTAGAATTTTTGTCTGTTTGTTTGTCTGGGAACGCATCACGAAAAAACCACTGGACAGATTTTGATGGGTATGACTGTATGGGATATATGGGACTTTTTACTGCAGGAAAATATTTCATCTCTGAGAAGATCATATTAAATGTACATTATATTTTTTCGAACACCAAATGTAACTAGCAGCTACAAAACTTATACTTACTTTCAAAGATACACTGCATGGACACATTATTTTGGTCTGTTACATTCTGCTTGATTGGTCCGGACGTCTGATTAACCAGTTTACCAGGGAAGCTGTGGTCCAGTACCACAGTTCTATCGGACCTGATCTCAGCCACCTTGGCTATGCATGTGTAGTTCCCATCGTCACCGGACGTCACATTTGTTATTATCAAGTTGTGAAACTTGTATTTACGACGGTTTCCATCTAAATCCTTTGTTTCTAACAATCGTTCTTCTGCATAAATTTTAGCCCTGTAGGTAAAAGATTTGAAATATATTTAATATGCTTAAGAAAGAAAAATAAATTTTCTTACATTTTTTAGATTCTAAGATTTTTTTACATCTGCGAATGCAAATTGCAAACTTAAGTAGGACATCGACAAGTATTTATAGAACTTTCCATAACGAAGATAGCTGTACCACCTTGACTTAAAGGTAGTTTTGGCATATAAATAAACGACATATAATAATACATTAGAGCATTAATATAATAATACATTAGAGCAGATACTCAGCGCGTAGCACGATTTGGTCAAGAACTTCTTTCGCACCCTACGGGAAGCCGTAGCTATTGGCGACTGACCAAAGCCGTGCAACGCAACTTCTGCCAGCCTACGCTGCCACCGCTACGATATCCTGATGGATCTCTGGCCCATGACGCACAGCAGAAAGCCAATATATTGGCCTCTCTGTTTGCAGCCAATTCCCGTCTCGACGACTGTGGAGCCCAACCTCCGACTATACCATATTGTGGCACAACAATGCCTGATATCCAGATTAGGCAGCGTGATGTACGGTCAATTCTACAGTCGATCGACACCCGGAAAGCAAGTGGTCCTGATGGTATTCCTGCGATTGTTCTTAAAAATTGTGCAGCAGAGTTGGCTCCAGCACTAACGCGCCTGTACCGAAACTCCTATTCCTCAGGAATTGTGCCGAAGGCCTGGAAGGTGGCGAACATTCAACCAATCCCCAAAAAAGGTGACCGTTCTGATCCCGCCAACTACCGACCCATAGCCGTCACCTCGGTACTCTGTAAGGTGTTCGAGCGGATCATAAACTCGCAACTCATCCGCTATCTAGAAGATCACTCCATTATCAATGATCGTCAATATGGATTTCGACCAAAACGTTCGACGGGTGATCTTCTAGCTTTTATGACGCATCTATGGGGCGAGGCTATGGACAAACATGGCGAATCGATTGCTGTTAGCTTTGATATCTCGAAAGCTTTCGATAGGGTTTGGCACCGTTCTCTTCTTTCCAAGCTTCCGGCTTACGGTCTGTCTCCTCGATTGTGCGACTGGGTGGCTGACTTCCTGCATGAGCGCAGTATTCGCGTTCTCTGCGATGGGCAAGCTTCTAGCTTCCTACAGGTGAACGCCGGTGTGCCTCAGGGGTCCGTTTTATCGCCAACACTCTTCCTTCTGCATATCAATGACATGTTATCTCTGGGTAATATTCATTGCTATGCAGACGATAGCACTGTCCACTGTCGATACTTTGGCCATCCAGCCGCTAATCGAATGGAGATAGATAACAGGAGAACAGAACTTGTCCGTGAGCTCGACGATGTCTTGTACCGCATCTCAGAATGGGGTTCAAAGAACCTGGTCGAGTTCAATGCCAAGAAGACGCAGGTGTGCGCGTTCTCGGCTAAAAAATCTCCATTCCTTTGTTTTCCCTCTCTTCAGAACACTCGCCTTACTATGCAGGATGGCATCAACATCCTCGGAGTTAATATCCGCAGCGATTTGAACCAAAAAAACCATATCGAGAGTGTCATTTCGTTAGCTTCGCGTAAACTCGGGGTCCTGAACAGGGTGAAGCGGTTCTTCACGCCTGAGCAGCTATGTCTACTTTACAAGACTCAAGTGCGCTCATGCGTTGAGTACTGCTCCCACCTCTGGGATGGCTCTGCAAAGTACTTGTTAGACGCTCTTGATAGATTGCAACGCCGTGCTATCCGCATAATTAATAAACCTGAGGCTACTCAGTATTTAGAATCTCTGCAATTGCGTAGAGATGTTGCATCTCTAGCCGCTTTTTATCGCGTTTATTACGGCGAGTGTTCAGAAGAGCTCTTCCAACTTATACCCTCCTCTCCTTTCCTCTCCAAAACCACACGTGCTGGTCGGAAATTCCATCCTCACACGGTACTACCCATACCTTCTCGTACCAAAAGGTTTGGCAGCTCCTACCTGTGCCGCACTATTAGGAAATGGAATTCATTACCGTCTCACGTGTTTCCCTCTTCCTATAATCCTGGGTCGTTTAAACGGAGCGTGAAAAAGCACATTTGCAGGCCGACAAGGTGAGGTTGATCGGAATCGAGATCAAGTCCCGGAACCGATGGATCTCATTCTGGATTCCACTGTCGCTTACCATCAGGCGTCATGGAGTCATCTTGTCGAGCGTCAATAAAAAAAAAAAAAGACTTAAGAAGGTAAGTTGTTTAATTATTCTTTGAAACTTTTCAAAGTTGTAAACAACTAACAGGGTGCCAAACCCCACCCCTAATAAGGGTGTAATTGAGAATAGATAGCTAGGTATAAAGACTTTAATTATATCCTTCTTTCCGAGTATCAAACGCTTAGAACGAAGTAGCTATACTGAAGTCTTGTGAAATTTTAGCACGTCGAGAACACTTATTACGTGAAAATGTATAAACATTTTTAAAGTGCTTTCCTACTTGAAGTGTAGACATAATAGAAATAAATATATATTTACATAATCGTTATAATTAGTAGGTACTAAATGTTTATTTTATTACACCGTATTTACGATAATATTTTTTTCTTTACTTTACATACAATAGAATACAGGTATTATATTATCTACATCATATACCTACGTACAAACATACATACATATATGATACAGAAGAAGAAGAGAAAAATGTTTAGTATATACCCCATGGGCGTAACAAAAAACGTCAACTTAATAGACAAGCAAACTAAACCAAGTAAAGCAAACTCCGCAAAAACCTTTGCATTTAGGACCAATTTAAATATACAACTACAGTCAGTTTGTTTGAAAATGTACACACAAAGCCGACGTTCCAATTAATAGTGCTGATATAAATACTAGCAGCTGCTAAAAAAACAGACTCTTTATAACTCTAAATCATCCGACAGAACCTATTTTGAACGGACTTTTTAACTGAAAACAATAGGTCGGGAGAGGGTTGGAATACAATCGAAAATGCAAGGGCAATTCTTAAGTGGCGGAATGCATATAGCGATGTATGTAATCGCACCTCGTCAAATCTCTCTCAAAGGAATTTCACCTCCCCTAACCACTTCAGAACAATCTAGAAACATGAGACTCTTTTATAGGTGTAGCTAAAACATAGTTTATAAATTTAGACTATCTACTTTGCATTTTGTCAAGTAAACATGAAAAAAACCTGCACTAAAAGTAATGAACATTTATATCAAAAACGAAAAAAATAATGTACTATTTGTACTTTTAAAATTATTGCTATGCCATTGCAAATAAATGAAATATTATAACAGAGGATTCTCTATCGTAAATCTTTACATAGTATAAAATGAAATCGTTTCCGCTGTCTGTTCGCTTAGGTCTTTTAAACTACTCAACCGATTTTAATGCAGTTTTCAGGAATACATAGAGTGATTTAAGAGGAAGGTTTATATGTATAATACATGTATATTATAGTACAGAAAAGCAGAGAAATTCAAAGATTTGTATTTCATAGTAGCTAGTATAAATATATGTCTATAAAAAAACGTGGGCAAAATTGCAGGCAATAAGCTAGCCATTAAAAATGTTATGGTCGATTGCAACAACGTTACGAGCATTATTACTTTATTCAACAAAGTGGTATTTATTCTGAATAACATTGATGGTTCATTAAAATTTTGCCTTTTTGATAACAAGACAATGATAGCACTGTCTGATACAAGTGACTGTTTGTAAACAGATAACTATTATCAATGTCGCGTCATATTATAACGTTATTTTGAATTAAGATTGACAAAACAAACAAATCTGATTTTTAGAACAAGCAGGATTACATATTAGGTTCATATGGAGATCAAATAAATAACTTATGCTTATTTTTAGTAGATATATTATCACTTATCTATAAAGCTACAACTCATTAATCATCTTTAAAGTTTAAGCTTTTATTTGTAATCCTCAGGAACTATATGCAATATTAAGGCATATTTATTTATCTCCGTATATTATGTACATATATAAATATATATGGTCTCTCCCGTGACCATGGATGCTGTAAAGCATTCGAAACGTCGGGAAACAAAAATGCAAATAAATCCGCGACAAAATCCGAAAAGATAGTTTTATTTAAAATACTTATATACTATTTATAATATGTATTTACTGTACACTCCGATTAAGGCTACTTTATTTTGTAGACGAAATATATATTATTATACTTCTGAAAACAATTTTCCAAGTGATGGAATTTCACATGAAAATTTATAGTGTACTTTAAAAGAGCTCCAGTGAAGCCCTGAGACAGGGATGCGGTGTTGCAGTAGACCATGAACTGGATGGGATAAACTAGACAAATTTTATCCAAATTAGCCTATATTTACACAAGACCACAAAACTGTAATGATGCAATTTTTTTGCAATTTAAAAACAATGAAAAAATAACATGTTACTTTTTTTGTATTACAGTGAAAGTTGAGTAAAAATGACTATATTGCTCTATTCTTGAATGTTTTCAAAGATTATAATCATCCGATAATTTTTTTTTTTAAACTAAAAATTTAAATTAAGTACTTAATTTATTTATTTAAAAATCTGTGGGCCACCTCAAAATGTTGAGTAAAAAAATTTTTTTTTATTCAAAAATTTTGTTTCTTTTATAAGCTACAACTTCTACCCCCAAGCTAAGAAAAAAAAGGGCAAGTGCGAGTCGGACTCTCGCAAGAAGGGTTCAGTACCATTATCTATAAAAACGGCAAAAAATCATGTCTGTTGTATGGGAGCCCCCCTTAAATATTTGATTTATTTCATTATTTATTTTTAAAGTGAATATATAACTAAATATTCTTTGAATATTTCTAGCATCTACCTGTTGCCATTATCAATATGGAATCCCCCTTAAATATTTATTTTTATCTGTTTTTTATTATTTGTTGTTATATTACAGAAATACATCAGCATACAAATAGGGTCCCGTTTTACCCTTTGGGTATGGCACCCTAAAAATATTTTATTGTTTTTTGCTCCACCCTGTTAAAAATATGTGTATAATATCTCTTTTATAAAATAATTTACATCAAATAACATTTTGTATTTACTTACTACACAGTAAAATTAAAAGGAAAGTTAGGAGTTAGATAAAATTTGTATTATTAATTAATAATACACCTTTCACACAAATCATACAAAATATATAGTTTAAATATAAATGAAATAAATAATATAATAATTAAATAAGGTTCATTCATATTCTTTGTAGACTTTGAATTAGAATAAAATAAATAAGGCATAATGAATATATAAATAGACTAACCTTTCACCAATATTAAGTGGTTCATTGTTGTAAAGCCAATCTACTGTGGCTTCAGTTGGTGACACATTGCAGCTTATGTTTGTGTTTTTGCCGATATCACCTTTAACTAAATGTAGGTTCAAAATCTCAGGAACATCTTGTGCTATATAGAATAACATTTATGTTAGTATTACGAGTAAAACTTAATTAGAAAATGACCATCAACAATACATACTCTATTTACTAACACCTTTTTATGATGATTTTTTTCTGTGGGTCTACTACCATGTGCAACAGTAACTAAACACTTCCCCTGTTATATATTGGAGCTTAAAGTATGGTGAGCTTAATATCTATTTATTTTCAGTTTTCAACCAATTTAAATTGATTTATCTCAATTAAACAGACAAAAGATAATAAAACACTGTTGGTATGACTTCTTTAATGTGTAAGAAGGACTAGATTCAATAAATAAATATTGATATAAATAAAACATTATGTACTAAATAATAAAACAATTCAAAAGTTAAATCACTGAATTTTTCCCATTATTGTCATATAGAAGTGTTTTAATAAATCATGTTAAACCTAACAAGTAGGTAAAAGACGATCATCAGGGTTTTCCCTTATTATTTCCACAAATTAAATTTACATTATAAATAAATGTAACACATAATATGAAAAACTTATAAGTAAACTTAATTACAAATTTTTCGATATTTACTAGCTTATAGGTAAATACTATTAAGTTATTATAGATTGCTAAATACTCACAATTATATTTTATGTTTTTATTGCAAGGTGCATATGAGCCATTTGTGTTTATGAAAAAAATATGATCGAGTGTTTTAAGCAGTAATATGACTTACTGTGTTTACGATTCATATGCGACCGATTAGTTTATGATATGTTTTATTTATAATAATTGTTTATTACTTACCAAAAACTCTATAACACGATACGATACACCCAAAATAAAGCGCAAGTGTTACGAAGTACTTCCTGAGCGAGAGAACCATCGTCATGGCGGAAGACTGCCTTTTACATTCAATACACAGGGTTTCGTGACATGAAACTCATCGCATGATAACTAAACCATCTTCAGTACACTTTCACAGCGGTATCACTGATTATTTCTATAATTATCACAATAAAAAATTACAAGGCGGCTGACACCCAAAGCCGAACAAACAATCCCACTAAAATAATGTTGCTAGTATAATTATTAATAAAGACTTGAGAGAAAAAAAAGCCATAATATTATACCTGTATTTTATACTTTTCACAAGAAACCAAGAAATAATTCAGCATTTTAATAATTTAAAAGTATACGAATAGATTTAACAAAATAAAGTTTTTTTAGAAATACATAGTTTTTTTGCTTTTATTTCTTTATTTTAATAATAAATAAATATTTATAGTTTTAATAGTATAAGTTAAAATAAATTTCTTTAAAGTGATGTCCAAATAGCCTAAAATATAATGATTATGATTTTGCCAATTTTCATCGCCTTATTGGCAGCCTGTATTATGTAGCCTAATATTTCTTCAGTTTTTATTTTTTAGGAACAAATGACATTCATTTTCTTTGCATCCTTGTAATGCACAATTTATTATTTTAATTAAATTTTAAATAAAATGAAAAAAATTGCATTCGATAAAAAGCCTTACAATATACTAAGGGCCATAGTGATCGCGAAGTCTGGCGGGAGAAAAGGGCAAAATTCTTCCCCATTGTACAAAGTTTCATTTAAACATTCATCTCCCATTTTACTCTCATTTGGAATGAATTTCAAAAAATTCTAAAAAAAGTATTTATTTAATTGCATTGAAGAGCATTAATACCAAGTTTCAAGTAATTCTGATCTTAAATAATTAATTCTTTGCCCATATAAACTTTATTACCTCCTTTTACCTCTTTAAGGGATGAATTTCGAAAAAAAATCGATTAAATATGTTTCTTACTTTTTGTTTTAAAGCTAAACATAACTTTCTGTGTATTTCACATTAAGAATGACAGAGTTTCCTAAAATCTTTTTTCCCTTATTTTACCCATTTAGGGGATTCGAAGAATCCTTTTTCTGTATACGTCCTCCAAATTTAACGTTTTTACGACCAGCGGCTTAGGCTTTGCGTTGATCCATCAGTCAACTGTCAGGAGTCAGGATCACCACACGATGCACCTCTCCTGTTCAATTCTTTCTTCAGCTGGTTTAACTTCCAGGTACAATACATTGCATAAGTAAAATGCAAAAACAATAGAAGCAAAAACCAGGAAAAAAGAGACATCATAATAAATTGTAACCTCATACTGAATGTAAATAAATCATACGTGAAGCGCCTCTTTTCTCAACATGTTCCCCATTATTAGTTTACCTATTTTTTATATCAAATTTAAAATTATTATGTGATAATAAAAATCATAATTATAAAAGAATTGAAACTAATTAAAATAAAGTTTAGTATTATTATCAGTATTACTCTTCTTTCTTTTCTTGGTTTTTTTATATTACTTCACAACTTTATTAAATTGAGGCATAATGAGTACATGGCAACATCGATTGTTTATTGACAAGGCGAATGACAGACGGCGGGGTCCGAGTTCGATGGCAACTTGATTGAAATAATCCAAAGGAAATACATGACTAGATAACAAGATAATAACCGCCTGTATATAAAATCAAAGTGAAAATGTGGTTTATATATATTGTTTGAACTCTATTTACACGAAAATTTCGTGTATATTGTACTATAAAGATGTATATTCATTACACGTTAGGAGCCATTTTTATTGTATTTATTTTGTGCGTTCATTGTGATAATGTTGATACTAACAACGAAATCTTGGAAATTTATGGTAAGTTTCGATATTTTCTTTTTTTTATTTATTTTAGACATAGATTCTTCGCATTTGTTTGTCTTTAGAAGAGATCACGCCTATGTATATTGGATCTGTCAATCTTAATATGCGAATCCATGCTATTTGCCAATGGATTATACAAATTATTTACGCGCTTTTTTTTTCTATAAATATATTATATTTTAGTAGAATACTTTTTTTTATTTAAAGTACCTACATACATTTTACATTTGCCCATATCTTATTGGAACTTGGTATGATTTAAGATTAGTGTTTTAATTTAAATTTCTTATTTTATTTCCAATTTTCATTTGCTATAATATGTGCTATACATTTATTAACATTAAACGTAACAATTTAATAATTGATAAACTTCATAATTTTTTACATTAACTTAACTTTATTTAGATTTTGCAAATGATATTTTATATTATTATATCTATACATAGTATAATACAAAGTCACCATCTAAGCCAACTGTTTCTTCGCTTACTTCTAAATTACAATGGATTTTGATATGGTTTTCACCAATAGAAATTAGAAAGAGTGATAAATGAGGAAGGTTCATATACATATATGTCTACCTATTTTGTAGATATTTTATACAAAATAACTATTTTTATCTTTACGAAACATAACTTAGTGATGCATTCGAGTGAAGCGATATTTTAATATTTTAACATACATTCTTTTAAATTTCATTACTTGAGTCTTGTTATTATTTTAGTGAATTTATTTATTTATACTTTGTTGTCGCCACAATCATGAAGTAAATACAGTGAACAAAATATCAAAAAAAAAACAAAACAAAAGTGTGCACAAAAGGTGGTCTTATCACTATATTATATATATACCCTTTTTTTTTTAACGTTGGGAAATGCATTTACGCACGAGGTGTGGGACTCACCGACAAAGCCAGTACTACCCACTAAAACCCAACAAAGCCTTCCCCCGTCTTAATGGGGCGTCGCAGAATCGCTTACGCATTCAACTACGACGCCCCGACGGCAGGTCTGCCGAAGCAGACCACCACAACCACGGGGTTGCTCCAAGGTCCACTCTGCTATCAGAGAAGTACCAGGAGCAACCCGCATGGTACACCGCCCTCTGAAAAGGGCCGCCTCCCACCGCCCACCGAAGTGGGCCACCTCCCTGTGCGTTTCTTGGCTTCGCGCCCGGTTGGGTTGCCGGGCACTACTGAGCCCCCCCACCACGACAAGGTGAACGCACGTTGGGGGGATTATATTGTGGTAATATGGTGGTATGTGGTATGAATTACCCTTATTTCACTTAGTTGAGTTCGTAGGCACCTAACAGTAGCAGTATTCTATTCATAGTCTATCTGTGTACTAAACTTCATCTAAATCTGTCCAGCCATTTTAACATGAAGGAGTAGAAGTACATACACACACACTTAGATATATAAACATTCACAAATATATAAAATAACTTTATAGGGTACAAAATAAATAAGCAGAGAAGAATCATTACATCTTTAATTTTATTCTTGTAATAAATATAGTAAAAATATGTTATTTTAAGTAACTACCTGGTACTTTATGTTACTTATATTACGATGTACAATAACTTAGTGCTTTGAATACATTTAAATGTATTCTTTAAACTTATGTCAAACTACACATTTGACATGTAATTATTATTTGAAAGTTTTGGACTTTGTTGGATGTACCTATTTGACAAACTTTGTGTCTTGCTTACATTTATTAAATACTACAAAACTACAAAATATCAAATATTTGTAAAAGATATTAAAGAAAATGGGGCCTTTAATAGTAAACAAAATTTGGAAATTTCCTCTAATTTTATTGGGGCTTTAATTAAATTTAAATTTTAACTAAACTTGTATAAGTTATAGTATATACTCAGAAAATCCCATATTCATATTTTATTCTAAATACAACTATGTCAATGATTGTAATTGTTTGACATGTAGAGTGATGTACTTGTTTAATTTCAAGTAAGGTACCTAAATATTTAAATAACCACTAATATAAATGTGCAAGTTTATGTGTGTGTGTTTGTTACTTACTATAGATACTCTGAAAAGAAAATTCAAATAGATACTGATTAAGTCCATAATATATACCTTTATGTCATAGTAACAGGTTTGCAAAACTAAAACAGTTTTAAATAATAATTTATGTAATGTAAGTAATAAATTCAATGTACATCCATACTAATATTATAAATGTGAAAAAGTGTTTGTTTTTTTTGTTTGTTTGTCCGTCTTTCACGTCAAAACAGAGTGACGGACTGGTGTGATTTTTTGTGTGGAGATATTTGGAAAGTCGGAGAGGCATAAGCTTACTGTTTGAGATTATCTCATTCCCATGGTAAAACACGTTATAATACAACCCAAACAAATATGATCAGAATTACTTGAAACTTGGTATTAATGGTTTTCAATACAATTAAATAAATACGTGTCTTAGCATTTTTCGAAATTCATCCCATAAGAGGGTAAAATATAGGAAGAAAGTTTGTATAAAACCAACATTTTTTGAGTTTTTTTGTAATTTTTAAGTTCTGCTAGTATTTTTATATGAAGAGTTTTATAGTAGATGTAAACAAACAAAAATAAATAAAAGGCTTTAATATCTTTGCAATATTGTAGTATCACTATGTCCACTGAATCCTACAATTATTTGTGTCTGTACCAGCTTGTCCTGTTTATTATCAACCATGGTCTCTTTGTAAAGTAAGTAGGCCAAAACATAACAAAAGGATGCATTTCAGAATTTTCCTTTTGTTTTCACTTGAATGGCGGCCAGATTCATGCTTGATTAAATTAAAAAAAAACCTGCTTTCACAAGAGCGAAAGTCTTTAATGGTAGAAAAGTTAATAAATTAGACCAGAACATGACATGACATAAACAACTAAGCTATGTGATACAAAATAATAATTGTGCACAAATCACCATATCTATATACATACATATAATAAAATACTAACTAAGTTAAATCTGTACATTAAATATTTTTTAGAAAATCTTATTGAAATAGAATTGTAAATATACAGAGGCGGAATCTAGAATTTATAGAATTTTTGTCTGTCTGCTTGTCTGGGAATGCATCACAAGAAAACCAATGGACAGATTTTGATGTAATTTGGTATGATAACAGCTGGTTATCCGGGTCAACTGCCTCAGTGGTGTAGTGGCTAGCATATACGGCTGCACACCCGAAGGTCCTGGGTTCGAGTCCCGGGTCGGGCCAAGTTTAGTTATTGAGTCTTTCTGTATAGTAAGTCTCAGTAACAGCCCGGAGTTGGGAAGTTGGCGATGTTTCACCCCCGTGCCTCGGAGAGCACGTAAAGCCGTCGGTCCTGCGCCTTAACTCTCACCGGTCGTGTCGAGCAGTCGTCCCACCGGAGTATGAGAGTGACAGGAATAGAGAGTGCACTTGTGTCTGCGCGTTCACTTGTGCACTATAATATCTCCTGCGCAGTTGGCTAGTCTCAATGAGATTGGCCGCCGTAGCCGGAATCGGCCAGGAGAACATCATCATCATCATCCGGGTCAACGTATATGATACTTTTTACTGCTAGAAAATGTCTCATCTCTGAGAAATCTATACTAAACTTTAAAATGTAACGCTACATATGTACGCTAGTATAAAATATATATGGATATCAATACATTTTCAATCTATTTAAAAGAAATATGATACACATCAGAAATGATCTATTTTTAATATTACCAGACAATCGGGTAATTATACCTGAATTTGGATTTTATTTTCTGCAATGCAATACTTATACTTTAAATCTTAATATGCACATCTTTTTTATTCATTAAATGTATATTATGAGTTTTCATATAGGCCACTTTGTTTTGCTCTTCATATTTAATTTGTTCTATATAATATGGTCCAAGTGACAAACATTTTATTTATACTTTAGAAATAATCCTGATATGAAACAATCAAATCTCTTTATTTATTATTCTTCTTAGCATATTTTATTACCAATCAATTAATAGATACATTAATTAAATATATGTAGCTCTTAGATGACTTTTGTAAGCTTAATAAATCCTAGTAACATACTCTAGGTTGGCTGACATTTTTTTAAATTGAAATTCGAAAAATATTGTTCCCTATACCAACTTTGTCACCACTTTTTAGTCATACAAAGGTGTTTCAAAAGATCCTTTCTTATATGTGGTTATAACACCATTATATTAATAGACTCTGTTTTTTTGTGTAGATATTCATGAATCAGTCAGAGTAAGGGGAATTTGCTATAATAACTTCCCAATATAAAATTTAATCCCCATTTTCACCCCCTTAAGGGATGATTTCCGGGATAAAAAGTGTCCTATGTCCTTTCCAGGATCTCAAACTATCTTCTTACCAAATTTCATCTAAGTCGGTTCTGTAGATCCAGAGATTACCCCCTACAAAGTCACAAAGTCACAAAGTTTACCTCTTTATAATATTAGTATAATAAGTCAATTTATATTAATAGCTCGAAAAGTGTACCAACGTAGACATAGAGGCTGTCAATGTAAAAACAACTTTATAAATATTTTTAAAATATTGTCGCCGTTGTTTTTTTTGTTGAAATAAGAATCCCCGAATCTAAACGAAAATGAGACATGCATATTTGCAAGTGATGCACTAGCACCATATAAATAAAGCGAAACTGTCAAGACGATGAGGGTACGGTTACGTGAGAGGAAGGTCATTTCCATTAGCCAGTGACTCACTGCACCGGTGGGATACCGGTCACTTAGTTTACGCTATAAATAACGTTAAACAGATTTACTATAAGGTCTATTTTACTGTGCAACTATTTTAAAATGCACCGCGATAAGTAATAATGGAACTACCAAACTTTATGGTCGAAGATTAGCTCAGGGCGTAAGATTTTCTTATATTAGTTAGATATGATGGTGCTATGACAAAGGCAATTTTTGTTCTAATAATGCTGTAAGTTTAGTCGATTTAAATGGAGATGTTTAAAGAATCCCCAT